CCATCACTGGACTGGAAGCTAAAACATACGATGAACGGTTGCAGGAACTGGGCACGGCTAGTCCAGTGAAGAGAAGGACCAGGGGAGATGTGATAGCATCTTCCAGTATTTGAGGGGCTGCCCCAGAGAGGAAGAAGTGGGTCGAGCTATTTTCCAAAGCCCCCGAAGGCCAGAGAAGGAATAATGGATGGAAACTGACCAAGGAGAGATTCAACCTGGAAATAAAGGAGGAATTTCCTGACAGTGAGAACAATCAACCAGTGGAACAGAAGTTGCCTTCGGAAGTTGTGAGAGCTTCATCACTGGAGGCTTTCAAGAAGAGACTGGACTGCCCTCGGTCAGAAATGGTGTAGGATCTCCTGCTTGGGTGGGGGGTTGGACTAGATGACCTACAAGGTCCCCTTCAACTCTGTTCATCTTCCTTTCTCCAAATAAACCTTAAGTCGTATCAGAGCCGTGAAATTACACATTCTGCAGGGTTGGAGGAAGATAAGAGGGGGGCCCCCTCTTCCCCCCCCCCCAATTTCCTTTTCCCGCTGCTTTGCGTTGGAATTCAAACCGGCCTTCTCAGTTTGCCCAGCCAGTACAAGCAGTCCTCGACATACAACCGTTCCTTTAGTGACCATTCAGAGTTACAACGGCACTGGAAGAAAAGAGATTTAGGAGCGTTTTCCACACTTACATCCCCAGGGTCACGTGATCAAAATGCAGAGGATTTGCAACTGATAAAGTTTATGACAGTCCTGGGATCACGTGATCTCCATTGGCAACTTCTTGACAAGGGAAGTCAATGGGTAAGCCAGATTCACTTAACAACCATGTCACTCACTTAACAACTGCAGCGACTCACTTAACGACCCTGTGACGAGAACGGTCGTAACATGGAGCAAACTCCCTTAACTGTCTGGCTGAGCCACAGAAATGTGGGGCTCCCTTGCGGTCGTAAATTGAGGACTACCTGCAGCCACGTGGTGCCTGTTTATGGCTGCCACATACAACACACCTGTTCGCAGGTTGGCACAGGAGGCTGGCATGAGGCCAGCCCCATTTGGCGCCAGTCCGGCTGGCCTGATGACCCCACGCTTGGGGTCGGCTACAGGCCATGCCACTTTGCTGACCCCTTTTGTTTGGGAGGCGGGGAAGATAACCACTATGCCACATGGCATCCTGTTGCCTCCTGTCTGCAAAACAGAGCCGCAGGTTGATGGGCACAGTGCCAGGGCACAGAAACGGAACAGCCTGTACCCAAAAGAGAAGCTTAGAGGGCGGGAGGGATGGTGGAAACAGACCGTGGGAGGATCAGGAAGTACAAAGTCCGGCTTGGTCTGCTCGGGAAGCTCAGGAGAAGCCAGAGATCAGCTATGTGGTGGCGCTGGAAGCGGGCAAGGGGCAGGAGATGGTGCAGGTAAGGGGCCTCTCTGGCGCTGGGATGGAGCCCTCAGGGCAGGGCCTTCTGGGGCACGGCAAACTTCCATGTTCCCTGCCTTGTATGGTGTTTGTGGTATGGAGGAACCATCTTTTGAAGATCTCCCTGGGCCCATCAGCAGAAGGCTTCAGGGCTTCCCATCTGATTTGAGTGTCTTCCTAGAAGATGTCTATGGAGATTCTCAGTCATCCAGGTCAGGGGTCTCCAACCTTGGCAACTTTAAGTCTTGTGGACTTCAAAGCTGGCTGAGGAACTCTGGGAGTTGAAGTCCACAAGTCTTAAAGTTGCCAAGGTTGGAGACCCCTGATTCAGGTCATGGTTGTCCCAAAACCTTTCTTTCAAGAGCTGAAGAAAGCTTCTTGGATGAGAAGCGAAACGTCTTGAATGAAAGAAAAACCAGAAAAAGTCTGGTTGCCTCTTGAAAAAGCACCTTAGGGACTTCCTAGAAGATGTGAGCTTTGGTGGACTTCCAGAGGACCCTAGAACTTGTTCAAGTCATTTCTAGATCCAAGGGTCTCCAATATACCCAACCTTTTGGGGCAGAAGTATGCCAGAAACTTTAAAAAAAAAAAACTTTGTGAAGTTCTGAGGTTCTTAGAATTTTGAGGTTCTTTTGTGGAGGTCTCCTTGGATAGGATCTCAGTGGTGGTGAGAACTTAAGTCTTTTCACCACAAGCAGTTCATTTCTGGAATTTGTAAAGGTTGAGACAGTTAGTCGGTGACATTTTTTGGGCAAACTAGACCTGGGTGGCTGAGTAAAGTGGATCCAAGACGCTTGGAGATCTCTCCAAAGGTTGGAACGTCAAGAAGATAACATCCGAGGAGAAAAGAGGAACCCAAGAAAGCTGAAAAATGGGCCATCTAAAACTCCATGGGGCTGGGAAAGAAGAAACATAGGTTCCAGGAATCAGTGGGACTCTGAAGAAAAATGTTGATGCGATGATTGAGATCCGGGAGCATGAAAAACATTAGATTTTCGAGAAGATTTGATGGGAGGGGAATGTTAATTTAACCGGGGAGCACCGGGACATGTTGTCGAGAAGGCAATTAATTCGAGGAAAGTTCCTGTTTTTCAACCGTCAGCCCGCCTGCGCCCTCCTCTATTTCTACTCGCGCGTCTCTGCTTCTCCTTCATGGCTCTCGGTCGCTCGATCGACTCGTTGAAAGTCCCACCAGAAGACCAAACGTTGAACATCTGGGAAGGGTTGCCTCTATCGCACCCCATGTGTCGGTTCTTGTGTGTTTTGGAGCAAGTCGGGGTTGTGACCAGGGGTGGCTTCTAGTTTCCTTTACTACCGGTTTGCATCGTGCCCGCACACGCTCTCTCTCTCTCTCTCTTCTGCGCGTGCACATGCCCAGATCACTTCTGATGACGTCCGGGGCAGTGGGCGGAGCCTCCCGCCGGTTTTACTACCGGTTCTTGCGAACCGGTCTGAACCCCTGGTTGTGACGTTGGTTTATTTTTTATTTTTTATTTTTATTTGATTTATATGCCGCCCTTCTCCGGAGACTCAGGGCGGCTTACAATGCGTTAAGCAATAGCCTTCATACTTTTGTATATTTTATACAAAGTCAGCTTATTGCCCCCACAAACTGGGTCCTCAATTTACCCACCTTAGAAAGGATGGAAGGCTGAGTCAACCTTGAGCCTTGGCGAGATTCGAACCTGCAGAAATTGCAGGCAGCTGTGTTAATTACAGGGTGCATTAAACCACTGTACTACCAAGGCTCCTGGTTGGCCAAGGTGTATTTGCTTTTGTAGGTAGTCCTCGACTTACAACAGGTCATTTAGTGACCGTGCAAAGTTAACAACGGCGCTGGAAACAAAAAGGGGACTCCTGACCATTTTTCGCACATACGACCTTTGTAGCAGCCCCTTGATCAAAATTCAGAGGCTTGGCAACTGACTCATACTTACGACCGTTGCTGTGTCCTCACGGTCACGGGATTCCCCTTTGGTGACTTTCCCGCCAGCAAAGTCCACGGGGAGGCCAGATTCACTTAACAACCGGGTTGCTAACTTAACGGCCGGAGTGATTCGCTTAACAACGGTGGCAAGAAAGGTCGTAAAATGGGGCAGAACTCACTTAACAAATGTGTCACTTAACAACAGAAATTTGGGGCTCAGTTTGTGGTCGTAAGTCAAGGACTGCCTGTTCTTCTTCCTGTCAGAGATTTAAAAAACCTGCTGCCCTAAACTGCAAATTCAGGTGTGATCCAGGAGAGTGGTTGCTTTTACACACAGAGTAAGGCTAGCATCGATGTGTTACACAGTCGGTTGGAAGTGTTTGCATTTTGCTCAGGAAGGGGGCTTGTTCATTTATTGTATTTTTTCTGCCTGGCCCTTCTTTCCTAAGTGACTTTGGATGGTTTCCACGTGATCCATTTGCTCCTCAGCATTTTAGCTATTTTTACTCAGGTAGGAACGCTCAATCTTAGGTCAACTCTTTCTGGAGTGGCAACTTTCAGCTGTGTGGACTTCAACTCCCAGAATTCCCCTTGGCTGGCTGGGGAATTCTGGGAGTTGAAGTCCACACAGCTGAAAGTTGCCAAGCTTGAAAAACGGCGATTTAAAAAATGTGTCATGTAAACAAAAGAATGTGGGTTGTTAGTCGCCTTTTTAATATATAGTTTTAGAGCTAGAAGCAAAACTCAGAAGGAGAACTTAAGAAAAGAACCGATAATTTCATGCGCTGATTTATATTTGCATCTTGTTTTTGCTTTTCGGTATTTCTTGTGAGATGAGATGCAAAGGTAGAGGAGAAAGAAAACCAGAATTTGAAATGCCCTTTTGTTTATTTGTTTATTTGATTTTTATCCTGCCTTTATTACTTGAACTCAAGTCAGCGAGCATACATAATAATCCTCCTTCATCCTTCTGTTTTCCCCACCACAACATCCCTGGGAGGTAGGTCGGGCTGGGGGAAGGGACAGGCCCAGAATCATCCAGCTGGTTTTCCTGCCTAAGGCAGAACTAGAACTCACCACCTCCTGGTGATTGGCCCAAAGTCACCCAGCCAGCTGTCATGCCTAAGGCGGGACTAGAACTCCCAGTCACCTGGTGATTGGCCCAAAGTCACCCAGCCAGCTGTCATCCCTAAGGCAGGACTAGAATTCCCAGTCACCTGGTGATTGGTCCAAAGTAACCCAGCCGGATGTCATCCCTAAGGCGGGACTAGAACTCCCAGTCACCTGGTGATTGGTCCAAAGTCTACCAGCCAGCTTTCATCCCTAAGGCAGGATTAGAACTCCCAGTCACCTGGTGATTGGCCCAAAGTCACTCAGCCGGCTTTCATGACTAAAGTGGAACTAGAACTCCCTGTCTCCTGGTGATTGGCTCAAAGTCTACCAGCCGGCTTTCATGCCTAAGGCGGGACTCCACTACAAAGCCTTTTGGTTTCTAGGCCAGCACCTTAACCACTAGGCCAACCTGCCTCTCACCAAACCCATAGCCCCCTAATGAACTTCTTGCCTGAGTGGAGACCCGAACCCAGACCTCTCTGCTTCTCATCGGTGCATTCCCCATTAATCTGCCTACCCAGCCAGTTCTCCTCTCACCTTGCCTCCTTCTCAGGTCCACCACCGAAATCCGGAAGGAGAAATCGCGAGACGCAGCGCGATGCCGGCGGAGCAAGGAGACGGAGGTGTTCTACCAGCTGGCCCACACCCTGCCCTTTGCCCGGGGGGTGAGCGCCCACTTGGACAAAGCCTCCATCATGCGGCTGACCATCAGCTACTTAAGAATGCATAAGCTGCTGAATTCTGGTAAGCGTTTCCGTGGGGGGGGACCTTCACCAAAGGGGGCAGATCACAAAAAATACAGAAGACCCCAAGCAGATGGTCTCAGAATAATAAGAGGGTGGGAAAGGGGCCTTTGGAGGTCTTCCAGTCCAACCCCCTGCTGCCTTTTTTGCTGACATTTTTCAGCGAAACCGTCCTAAAACATGGACATTTAACCCGCAGGACACTGCAAATGGTCATAAATGCGGCCTCCTTGCTGAATGTCAAAATTCTAGTCCCTCTTGTGAGACGGTGGACCGTCAGAAGTTTGAATCTTGGGTGGAATTATCCCACAGATAGGTCCATCGGAACTTCGTATTGCATGACAGTTGAGAATTCTTTCTCCTGGATAAACTTTTCTTTCTCTTGATGAGTTGGCTTAATGGAAGTTTGTACTTTCTCTAGGCGCAAATTGATACTTTAAAACTCTATATGTATTATATTACTCTCTGCAATTCTATCCATATTGTTATACTTTTTTTTTTCTGTATTTTTTAAATAATTTTCAATAATTTTTTTTTTTTTTTTTAAAGGAACTTCGTAGGGTTGTAAGTCGAGGGCTACCTGTAGTGACTCTTGTGTACTTTGTCCTGCAGGCAAAAAAAAAAAAGAGGTAGAATCACACAAATTCAGCCCCCTGCCGTGACATTTTTTGACACCCCCCCCTCCACACACACACATTCCAGACATCTTTGGTATGGGAAATCACTCTGAATCTATTCTTGCCCTTAAAGCAATTTCTACACTCTCTGTTGAACCAGGAGAATGGCGAGACCAAGTCAAAGCGGAAGAACAGGTGGATTCGTACTATCTGAAGGCCTTGGATGGCTTCCTGATGGTCCTGACTGAGGAAGGGGACATGATCTACCTCTCTGAGAATGTCAACAAGCACCTGGGTCTCAGCCAGGTGAGCGGGAGGAGCTCGCACAGGTGGGGGGGGGGTTCAACCAAAGATGAGTCAGTCTGGACAATGGTTAAGGCACCAGGCTAGAAAGTGAGGGCTTGTGAGTTATAGTCCTGTCTTAGGCATGAAAACTGGCTAGGTGACTTTGGGCCAATCACCAGGAGACAGGGAGTTCTAGTCCTGCCTTAGGGATGACAGCCGGCTGGGTTACTTTGGACCAATCACCAGGTGACTGGGAGTTCTAGTCCTGCCTTAGGCATGAAAAAAGGCTGAGTGACTTTGAGCCAATCACCAGGAGACAGAGAGTTCTAGTCCTGCCTTAGGGATGACAGGGTTACTTTGGACCAATCACCAGGTGACTGGGAGTTCTAGTCCTGCCTTAGGCATGAAAGCTGGCTGGGTGACTTTGGGCCAATCACCAGGAGACAGAGAGTTCTAGTCCTGCCTTAGGGATGACAGGGTGACTTTGGACCAATCACCAGGTGACTGGGAGTTCTAGTCCTGCCTTAGGCATGAAAAAAGGCTGGGTGACTTTGGGCCAATCACCAGGAGACAGAGAGTTTAGTCCTGCCTTAGGGATGACAGGGTTACTTTGGACCAATCACCAGGTGACTGGGAGTTCTAGTCCTGCCTTAGGCATGAAAGCTGGCTGGGTGACTTTGGGCCAATCATTCTCACTCAGCCCAACCTACCTTCCAGGGTTGTTGTGGGGAAAGGCGGAGGAAGGTGTGTTGGATATGTTCACCTGCCTGAGTTACTTGTAAAACTAAATAAAGGAGGGATACAAACCAATAAATAAAAATAAAAAGGAGCCATTCTTATGAATGTTGGATCCTGGAAGCATTTTTGGAGGAAAAAAATCAAGACAAAGCATCTCTCTCAGTCTTTGGGAGGGCCGCCCCATGCTGGCATTTTCTATTCAAATTTCAGAGGGGCCAGCTTGAAAATTCCTCTCCCACCCCTGATTTTTTGAATGGATCTTTTTGTTCTTCGGGTTTAGCTTCCATGTTATCTTTTAGATGACTTGGGAGAGACAGAATCGGGCTGGGGAAGAAGTTTCAGATGGCGATTTTATGTACATTCCAGCAAACCTAGAAATGAATTGAATTCCTCTTTTTGCTCTTTTTACTTCAGACGAACCACTCTCGCCTCCGATGCCTTGGGCTTTTTGCAAAACTCCCTGATTTATGTATTCTCCTCCCTCCCCCCCAACTAACTTTCCTTGTCTCATAAACGAAATCGCATTCCTGATTTTGCTGAATAAACAAGGGCCTTTTTTTTTTTGCGAAAAAGAAGAAGAAAAAGAAATTTCTTCCCTAGGTCCCCCCCGCTCCCCCGCCCCCAAATATCTTTCTTCCCAATCTGGAATCTGATTGAAAAGTTCTGACTGTGGTAGAGGGGAGGGCGAGGAGTAAAGGGCTTTCTGATTGGCTGGCTCCCGGGAGCCCTGCCCATCCGTTGGCACCTGGCAGATGTGGGCACGTGGGCCAGAATAATGGGGGGAGATGGGTGCTGCTGGGTGCCCAGCCTTCCTCCCGGCTTCTGCCCTCCCTCCTGCATCCTGTGGTGGCTCATGTTCTATTTTTTCCCTGTTTCCTTCCGTAGCTGGAGCTGATTGGCCACAGCGTTTTCGATTTCATCCACCCCTGTGATCAGGAGGAGCTGCAGGATGTGCTGAGCCCCAGGCAGGGTGAGTCTCCCCTCGCCATCCTCTTCAGAGTAGGGATGGGGGATCGCTGCGAGGTCCCCTTTCCTTCAGCACTGGGCCGCTCTGGGCAGAGGGCACCGGAATTCTGCACTGGTGCATTCAAATTGTAGGTTGTTGCTTAAGGTCTTTTAGCAGCAGCTCCTTCTCATCCTCCTCTTTCTCTTCCTTTTCTTTCTCCTCTCCCTCCTCCACTTTCTCCTTCTTTCTCTCTCCTCCTCGATCTCGTCCTCTCCTTTCCTTTTCTTCCTTCTCTTCCTTCTTCTCTTCCTTTCCTCCTCCTCCTTCTCCTCCTCCTCTTCTTCCTCCTTTTACTTTCTCCATTTCTTCCTTTTCCTTCTCTTCCTCTCCTGTTCTTTCTCCTTCTCCTGCCCCTTTTCCTTTTTCTCCTCCTTCTCCTCCATTTCTTTCTCCTTCTTCTTCTCTCCTTCCTTCCCTCTTCCCTCTCTCCCTCTTTTCCTTCCTTCCTTCTTTCCTTTTTCCCCACCCTCCCTTCTTCCCATCTTTCCTTCCTCCCCACTCCCTTCCCTCCCTCCCTCTGTCGCCTCTTTGAATTACATCTGTGACATATTCCAGTGCAATTTGCCATGTTTTCAAAGTGAAACAAAAACAAGAAGCCTTCGATCATCTCCAGCTACCCATTTTGCTGACACTTTTTTGACTCCCCAAAGCCAGGAACTAGGACCAAACATCCGTCTCCCTCCTTCCTGCTCCGCCCGTTGGCTCCCTCCATGCACCCACCCACCCATATATCTTGATCAGCATTTGATCCTGACTCTCCCCAGGTTTCTCCAAGAAGGCGGAAGTGAAGACGGAGCGGAATTTCTCCTTGCGCATGAAGAGCACGCTCACCACCAGGGGGCGCACCGTCAACCTCAAGTCTGCCACCTGGAAAGTGAGCAACTCCCTGGAATTTGGGGGGGGCGGGGAGAGAAACAGAAGCTGGCAGCGGTGTCGGACAGTGAGGAGGCTGGGTCAGTCCTGGAGTCAGGGGAAGGTCCAGATGAGGGCTCTGTCGGAGGCAGAGATGGGGCCAGGGCCATCTGGGAGCGATGCGTGGACTCTGGAGCCCCCAGAGTCGGACAGCAGAGAGGCAGAGGAACAGGAGGAGCCTGTTCCTAGTGCACGCATGCGCAGAGGAATTTGTGGCAGGAAAGTAAACTGTTGTGACCTCGGCTTACTGAGTCACTACAATATACAATTAGTCCCAAAAAAACCTATTTTATTGTAACAACTGAGAATTACGTTCATTCCCAGCTGAGTCCAAATTAGTTGCGAAAAAGTCCTTTGGAAGAAGTCCTTTGGGATAATCACCAACCTTTATCTTCTTTGACACCCTGCCAAAGGCCTTACTTGGCAAAGCCCCACGGAGTTCAGAAACAAACAAGAGATGCCGACTGGAAACAGAGTTAGCAATGTTGCTTTCCTGCAAAAGGCCCAAGTGCCTTTGTTTCTCTTTTAAGCCTTATGGGAGGGGCCAATCATCTCCTGGCCTTACTCCCGAGTCGTCCCTTTTGCTTTAGCTGCTCTTGCCTTCTGGCAGCTCTGTGCATGCGTGCACTAGGAACAGATTCCTCCTGTTCCTCTGCCTCTCTGCTGTCCGACTCTGGGGGCTCCGGACTCCGCACATCACTCCCAGATGGCCCTGGCCCCATCTCTGCCTCCGACGCAGAGCCCTCATCTGGGCCTTACTCTGACTCCAGGACTGGCCCATGTTCCTCCCCAGCCTCCTCACTGTCCGACTCCGCTACCAGCTCTGCCGGCTGCTGGCGGACCACAACAGGGGGAGGCTGCAGTTTATAAAATTACCTTTCCAGCTCCTGAAGGAGCATCGGAGATGCCTGCAATGCCCAACCCCTTTTGACTTTTGGGTGGGGTGGAAAGGAGGAGCGAAAAGAGGCTGACCCCATTCCTCCCCCAGGAGCTGCTTAGCATGCTTCCTTTTTGGCATTTGCAAAATACATAAATACATAAATGAGAAATGATTGTCAGTTTGGGAGAGCCATCCTGGAGCACTGGCAGGTGGATCCTATTCCCAGGAAGGCCCAGTCACCTGCAAAAACAGGGCTGGGTATACGGGCACTCCCTGACTTACAACCATTCGTTTAGTGACCGTTGCAAGCGACGTCTGCCCTGAAGAGAGTGATTTAGGGGCCATTTTCCACACTTAACAACCGTCACAGCGCCGCCGTCGCCCCCCTGAAGTCATGTGATCAAAATTTGGACACTTGGCAACTGACTCATACTTATGACGGTTGCTGTGTCCCAGGGTCACGTGATCCCCTTTTGCGACCTGATGAGCAAAGTCAATGGGGAAACTGGATTCGCTTAATGACCGTTTATCAGCGGCAGTGATCTATTTAACAACAGCAACTAGAAATGTTATAAAACAGGCCAAACTCACTTAACTATCTCGCTTGGCAATGGATATTTTGGGCTCTGTGGTGGTCGTAAGTCATATAAGTTATATCATTATCCTCTTAACGACCCCATAATCCCTTGCAGGGTGGAGTCTGGGCAACTGAATGGAGCTGAGTGTTTAATGGCCGGATGCCCTTCCTGTCGCCAATGCAGAGTTTTTTTTTCCAGCAGATATATCCTCATTATGACCAGAGAGAGAGAAATATCTGCCTCTACCTAGGATCGAACTCACAGCCTCCTGATTGTGAGGCTAGAACTCCACCTCTAGGCCACCGCACCACTCTTACAACTTATTATATGATTATTTATTTGTTCAATTTATTTGTCACTCGTCTCGTAACGAAACCTCTCCAGGCGGCTTTTTGGGGAGGGGGAATCCCTCTCGGCACCCCCAGAAGGCATCAGCCAGAATAAACAGGCGCTGTTCCCACCCATCGGTTACCCCCAGCTTCCTCCCTCTGCCCTTCCAGGTGCTGCACTGCTCTGGGCACATGCGCTCCTATGCGCCTTCCAAGCCGGCCACAGGAAAGGAAGGGGAAGGGGGCTTTGCGGAACCCCCCTTGCGATGCCTGGTGCTCATCTGCGAGGCCATCCCGCACCCCGCCAACATTGAGACCCCCCTGGACAGTGGCACCTTCCTCAGCCGCCACACCATGGACATGAAGTTCACCTACTGCGATGACAGGTGAGTGGGAGACGCCCGGGACCTCCCCCCTCTTCATCCACCCTCCAGGCAGAAGCCATTGAGTTCTGTCTGTGGATGATGGGTTCTTTGACCTTGGCTGGGACGTTGTGCCAAGTGGTTGCAACTGTGGTGTATAGAATGAACATGGCTGTTGAGCAAACAGGGTCAAATCCACAGGTAAAAATCTCTCCCCATTCTCTCTCTCTCTCTCTCTCATATATATGTATGTATGTATGCAGACATACTATATATACAGACATACATATACACTGCTCAAAAAAATAAAGGGAACACAAGCAGAAGACATCCGAGATCTGAATGAATGAAATAGCCTTATTAAATATTTTGTTCGCTACATTCAGTAGTTTTGTGTTCCCTTTAGTTGTTTGAGCAGTGTATAAACTATTGTATGTAAAGAACAAAGTATTCAATAAGGCTATTTCATTCATTCAGATCTCGGAGGTCTTCTGCTTGTGTTCCCTTTATTTGGATGATGGAGGTTGGATTCCTACTGTTTCCTCCCTCCTAGCTTGCTTATCAGTGGGGGGTGATGTTAGCCTGTCAGCTATTGCGATTTGCTGCCTTGTCTGTGACCTTGTGGTCAGCCAGGTAATATACCTGGAACTCGTATTTTTAGAATAGTTTGTTATATATATATATAACTGGGTGCTGGCTGGGGAATTCTGGGAGTTAAAGTCCACAAGTCTTAAAGTGGCCAAGGGATGGACACCCCTGCTCTAGCTTAACTCGGCCAGAATCTTATTTCCTGATGACTGTCCCATCTCTCCCCCTGGGCCAGGATTGTTGAGATGGCCGGTTACACCTCCGAAAGCTTGCTTGGCTGCTCCCTCTACGAATACATCCATGCCTTGGATTCGGATTCCGTCAGCAAGAGCATCAACACCCGTAAGTCCAGCATGTCACAGGCCTGGCCAGTTCTTTTCCATCCCGCGTGTTCCTCCTGCTGCCATCCGCTCCACATCTGGACGAGGAAGGCTTCAGGCGGGGGGGTGGGGTTGGGAGGTTGGTGTGGAAGGGGGTCTCGGGTGCCAGAAAGGGTCTCGAGATCCGCCCACACGTCATATCCTCCCCACGAGAGCGAACGCGAAGCGAAGCCTGTTCCGCCTTACCGTCTCTTCCCCATCTCCCCCGCTTATCCGTTTGTCTGTCTGTTCTAGACTGTCTGTCTTTCACTCCCTATTGGTAGTGCTAAGCAAGGGCCAGGCCGTGACCGGGCAGTACCGCTTCCTAGCCAGGAATGGTGGTTACATCTGGATCCAGACAGAGGCCACCGTCATCTCCAGCAGCAAGAACTCCCAGCCTGAGAGCATCGTCTGCATTCACTTCGTCTTGAGGTCAGCCCCACCCCCGGAGGTCAAAAACTTCAAGATGGACACCGTCCCCGAACCCCGCCCCTTGATTTACACATGTTCCAATTGCCAAACCTCCTCGGTTGCCTCTGAAGCACAGAGCTGACAAGAACCTCTGAGTCTCCTGAAATACAGGCAGTCCTCGACTTACGACTGTAATTGGGCCCAACATTTCCGTTGCTAAGCGAGGCCGTTGTTTAAACAAGTCGCACCTCATTTTATGACCTTGCTAAGCAACTCAGTGCAGTTGTTAAGAGAATTATGTCATTGATAAGTCGCATCTGGCTTTCCCACATTTTTGTTTTGGTCCATTTTACGATCTTTTTCCCCTACCGTTGTTAAGTGAATCACCGCTAATGTTAAGTTAGCAACCCGGATGTTAAATGAATCTGGCTCCCCCATTGATTTTGCTCGTCAGAAGGTCACAAAAGGGGCTGTTGTAACTTCGAACTGTCACTAAACGAATGGTCGAAAGTCAAGGACTACCTGTATTAAAATGAACTGTAAAATATGCTAAGAATTATAAATGGTAAGATGTTTCTCTGTGCTCAAATGGAGCTGGGACAACATCACCATGTGGCCATTCCAGCCACTGTCAGCAGAGGACGACATTGTGCCCAGCGTTTAAATGCCATAGAGTTTTCCAAACTGACACTTTCAGATATGCAGACTTCAACTCCCAGAATTCTCCAGCTAGCTGTGCTGGCTGGAGAATTCTGGAAGTTGAAGTTTGCATATCTGAAAGTTGCCAAGTTTGAATAACATGTCAAGAGCCATAACGGTTGTGGAGAAACTATCTCCATCCAAGTGGCAGTGTCCGCTTTCCAACCTGGCCTACTTTGAAGGGTTCCATGTTGTCCCCGTATCTTTCCATAGCCAGGTGGAAGAGAACGGACTGGTCCTGTCCCTGGAGCAAACGGACCGCCAAGGCGAGCATCGCCGGCTGCCCCCACCCTGCCTCGAAGGGCTGGACTCCGATAGCGCCTTGGAAGAGATGGACCCCAACGGAGGAGACACCATTATCAACCTCAGCTTTGGTGAGGGAAGAGGGTGGTGGGAAAAATGGTGTGGGGGGGGAGGAGATGCCAGCTTCCCCCTCCCCTAACTGAACCCCCAACGCTTTCGCTCCCCAGAGCTTCGTGGTCCCAAAATCCTGGCCTTCCTGCGCCCAGCCAACATCAGCGAGGAAGAATTGCAGCTGGATCCCAAGCGCTTCTGCAGCCCGGATCTCCAGAAATTGCTGGGGCCCATCTTCGACCCGCCTGGGACCCAGAACTCGGCAGGGGGCACTGGGCGGGCAAAGCCTCCCGCCCCGGTTCCCAAGACGGCTCCGGTTGTTAAGAAGATGTCTGGAAATCACAATCTAGTAAGGCAACCTGGAGGGACACTCTCAGTGGAGGGTGACCTGAATTTATTCATTTGTTTATCTGTCTATCTTGCCATTCATCCAGGGGTGAAATGCTACCGGTTCGGACCGGTTCAGGGGAACCGGTAATAAAAAAAAAAAATGCTACCGGTTCGGACAATCAGCTGTGCTGCACGATTTAGATTTGCTAAAAATCAGGAAATCCTGCTTCCTAGCAAATCTAAATCGCCCGGCACAGCTGTTCCCTCCCCCCTCGCTCTTTTACTGTCTGTCTATCTATCCAAATCTGTTACTTTCCATATCTGTCTTGTCTGTCTGTATGTCTATATCAGGGGTCGGCAACCTTAAACACTCAAAGAGCCACAAAGGTCCTAACCGGAAGGCCCCCCCCCTTCAATTCTGGAGCCAACCGGAAGTCTGGTTCCCCCACCACAGAGTCTCCTCCTAGCATGGCATCCTTTTTCCTCTGCCGACCGGAATTCCACTTCCCCCACCATAGAGTCTCCTCCTAGTGCGGCATCTTTTTTCCTCTACCTGTCCTAACCAAAAGCTCTATCAATTGTGGAGCTGACCAGCAACAGGGAGCCGCAGCAGAGAGATGAAAGAGCCACATGCGGCTCCAGAGCTGTGGGTTGCTGACCCATCTATCTATCTATCTATCTATCTATCTATCTATCTATCTATCCATCCATCCATCCATCCATCCATCCATCCATCCATCCATCCATCCATTTATCTATCCCTCTATCTATGTATCTGTCTGGTTAAAAGGATCTAGAAGAGAAGGGGCCAGAGCCATACACACTTCTGCCCTCTCTCTGCTGATCACCTTGTGGTAACTTTTCCCTGTCTACAATGGCCTTCACTCTGGGGGTGAGGAAGAGGCCCTATCTGGGATAGAAATTGGCACCAGGGCGATGGGTTCTACCAGCCTGCAGCTTCATTTCCTTTCTCCCTTCCTCTCCCTGAAGTCGGACCTGCCGGAGGAGTTGATCTTCGACATGGAGAACGTCCAGAAGCTCTTTGCATCCAACAAGGAGGAGCAGAGCATGGAGACGGCACTGCAGGTAGGACTGTGGAGGGGTCAGAGAAGGGGGTCAGCTGGGAGGCTTAGGCCAGAGGACTTCTTGGGTCTCTTGATGACCACGTTACATATTTAACAGCTCTAGCAATTTACTTAACAACTGTGGCAAGAAAGGTTATAAAATGAGGCAAAACTCAAGTTATCTACTGTCTTGCTTAGGAATGGAAATTTTGGGCTCAAATTTAAATTAAATTAAATTAAATTGTGGCCGTAAGTCGAGGACTGCCTGTACTACCCTCATGGATGAAGAGAAGATTCTTCTTCCTTCCGTAGTTTCACTTTGTCCTGTTCTCAGCACGAAACTTGTGTTGCTTCCCCCAAATTGTGGGAAAGTGGATTTTGGATTTTCAGCTACTGCGCTACCAAAATACTCAGCCCATTTAGGAAAGAACCCCCCATATTTTGGGGTATCTTTCAGGGGGCGGGGGCTCTGTTCTACTGTCTGACTCAATATCCATGGAGCTTCTCCACCTGCTTCCTGTTGCAGGATTATGAAGGCCTCGATTTAGAGATGCTGGCTCCTTACATCTCGATGGACGACGATTTTCAGCTCAGCAGCACCGACCATCCGCCATGGCTGACCGAGAAACGAGGAGATCCGGGGGCAGGACCCCGGCCCGCCTCACCCCCTCCAAGGCCTCGCTCTCGCAGTTTCCATGGCGTGTCCCCACGCCCACCAGAACCGGCTCCTCTTCCCCGCTGGGGCAGCGACAGCAGTTTGAGCCAAGGCCGCCCCATCGAGACCCCTTTGGCCAACTCGCCCTGCGGAGAAGGCCAGATGGTGGAGATGGTGGCATCGGTCAAGATTCAGTCTGTGCAGGATGGAACCGGTCTGAATGGCCAGAGGTCTCCCTTGGGCGGGAGGAAGAGGTCAGTCGCTGACTTTTAATTGGATCAGAAATTGGAGGGCAATAACACAAAAATAGAGAAAGTGAAGCTCATCACTTGCCCAGCTCATCCGCCTTACATTAAAATTGGAAGTTAAAATTAAGATTGTTTTGAGGAATGGGGGCGACGTTGTGGCAGTAATTCTTTAATCTGCCCATCATTGAAAACAGTGTTTCTCATCTTCAGCCACTTTTAAGATGGGTGAACTTCAACTCCCAGAATTCCCCATGGCTGGCTGGGGAATTCTGGGAGCTGAAGCCCCCCCATTTTAAAAGTGGCTGAAGATGAGAAACATTGATCTAAAAACATGTGCCCTTAATTAGCCATTTTGCTTTCAGAAAAGCCCATCTCTGGATTGTGCAGCACAGCCCCCCTAATTTGAACCCGTGTTTGGCTAAAGTTTTCCGCCGTTCCCCCAACAGGACTCGGGAGATTAGCCTGGATGAAGAGAGGGATCTCTTCCTGGAGACCATCCCCCCCAAGCGTGCCCATAACCATGAGGCTGAGGGATTCCTGATGCCCTCGCTTAGCCTGGTAAGTTCCGAGGTGCCCCATGCGTTGGGAAGGAGATGCCCGGGATGAAGCTGGCACATCTTTTTTTGTCCCCACACAAAATTCCTTTGTGATAGACAACCTTCTCTTCTGCCAGGGCTTTCTGCTCAGTGTGGAAGAGTGTCTGGATGCCCGGTCTGAGCGGGGCTGCGGAGGCACTGTGGCCCTGGGCAAGAAGCTGCTGGCCCTGGAGGAACCCATGGGTGAGTGCCACTGGAGTCTGGATTTGAGCGGTTGTGTGAAGAAGGCTTGGCAGGGTCAGCCCCTGTCCTGCCCCTTTGACTTGGTGGTCCTGAATGAACATTTATCATGGGTTGGGTCCCTGATGGCAGCTTTGTGGTTTTGCAGAAGTTTCATGACCCAACTAGGTAACATTATCAGTGCTAGAAGGGTGTGGGGTTTGCGGATTGTAAGAGGAGGAGGAGGAGAAGAATGCAAAGGGGAGAGGAAGGAGGAAGAGGAGGACAACTGTGAAGTCATTGGTGCTCTCCGAGCTTGGTCATTTTGCAGCTGTTTCACGACCCAGCTAGGTTACATCATCAATGCTGGAAGGGAGTGGGGTTTGCTCTCTTTTTTTGATATATTGGTGGCTTGTGCTGACTGTGGGTGGGCTGATGTTTTCTTCTTGGCAGTTAAACAGAGAACGAACCCCACTTCCATTTAGCATTGATGATGGGATACCAGGAAGGGGCTCAGTGATGGTTGGCCAGGACATCCTTGTGAATCCTGGGAGATGTAGGCGCAAGCAGCCGGATCCACTCACAAAAGGGCCAAGTCAGCAACTTTATTGTGATCTACCTATATTGCGAGAATCTCCCTAGACTGCTTGCGTTCCCTGGGGAACAACCACATAAACTCCCATGGAATTTAGGCGGAGTCAGGCTTATGCCTCTTGCAGCTGTGCAAGGACTCAAGGCTAATTCCCCACTTGACGCTTCCTCCTCTCACGGCTGGGATTTTCACGATTGTCTCAAGACATCTTACCACGGCCAGATTTGAGGGGGACGCATTAAAGGAAGGTCCCAGCTCCTGATGACCCCTCTCTCTCGCCCTCCCGGCTCTCTGCCCCCAGGCCTCTTAGGAGACATGCTGCCCTTCGTAGTGGACGGACCAGCGCTCTCCCAGCTGGCCCTGTACGATGGCGAGGAGGAGGTCTCCGGGCGTGGTGGAGAGCACTTCCAGCTGGGGGAGGAACTCCTGGTGGAGCTGGACCAGGCCACCTGAAGTGGCACCCTTGACCGCCCCCCCACCGCACCTTCATCCCACACTCCTGCTCTGCAGATGGGACACCCGGAACCAAATCCAACCAAATGCCCTCGGGGAGGGGTTCCTCCCGGCCCCTTCCCCGCCCGTCCACCCTCCACTGGCGTTCTTAGGACTCTTCCTACCTCAGTCCCGTCCCCTTCCCCAGGCAGCCTCTCCCCTCCGGAGACGGTTGGGAGGAAGGTCTCTGCCACCCCATTTGGTGCTTATCCGCCTGAATGTTCTTGAATCAAGAGGAAGGGGGACAGGAGTGGGACCGATTCACGGAGGGGTCTGCTCTCTTCATCCCCCCAAAGGAAGAGAAAGCACCACAGAGGGATCCCCCCGGACGAGAAAGAGCGGTGCAGCTACCCCGTGGGAGACTCAGAACCCATGGGGCTGTACCTTCTCCTCTGTCCTCAGCTCGCTAGGACAGATCCTTCAGAATTCGCCCAGGCTGTAAGATCAGCCGTTCCTGGGCCAAAGGGGTTCACCCCTTTGAGGGAGGTGAAAAGTGTGGGAGGGCCTACTCTGAGAATAGGGCGAACATCTGCGTTAGCCTCTCAAGGGACGCCTCTCCACGACTTGCCCAAAATACTTACGGTGCCTCCCATTGACCTCAAACCAAGGTCTCATCTTTTATAAAGGAAAGCCAGAGAGGTCCTCGGAGCGTCTGCTTCTGAGAGGACATTTTGGCCAGGTGAGAACACCTGTCCTGGACTCTAGAATGATATTTTCCCGCTACGATGGCCAACAGATGGAATAATCAGTCCCCAGAACGCTGGTGCTTCGGCCCTATCTGGGCCTACTTAAAGATCTCTCTTTGTTTACAAAACGCTCTCTCACACGTTCTGTGCGGAGAAAATCGGATGCCATGTAGAAAACAAGGCAAGATGCAAAGAAAACTCTCAGAAAAACCACACCTATTTTAAAAAAAAGAAAAAACATGCCAGGCCAGCTTCCCTGATCAAGCAGTCGCCAGGTGTGTTTTGAATGCAGGTAGCAGATCCGTGACTTGTCCAGCTGTCACGGCAAGCCAAAGCACATCTGGAAACAGCCGGATTGGGGAAGACTGGCTAGCTTGAAAATTTTTGAAGCCTAGGGGGGAAAAAAAACCCTTGAATAGGAAACAACCAAAAAAAAAAAAATTGAAAAAACCCAATACCCCATACAACATTTCAAACCTGTCAGTAGTCAAAACTGACTTTCCAGAAAATTAGGGGAAAAAAAATAATTGCAAAATCCTAAAAAGGGATTGACAAATCCTAAATCCGAAGAGAAATTTTCAGGAGCCTTAAAAGTACGGTCTAAAAGAAAAAAGAAAAAAAAAAAAGACAATCTCCACGACGAGCTTTTTGTCGTAAAGAGGAGAACGGCCGTCTTCTGTTTCTAAACTTCGAGATGGACGGCTGATCGCGAACAACTTTGATAACGGGAAAAACAAAACGCTTTTCGTTAAGCGAGTTTGAACCGGTGCTATGAAATGTTATCCGTTGTTAGAAATGACATTGTTGTCGATATTTCAATCACTATTTTTTTTTCTACTTTAACGAAAGGGGAATTGAAATTTCCAAAAGGTGCTCCCCTTCCTTGTGTTTTTAACACCTCGATCCCCGTCACGCTTACTTCGAAGTAAGTTGCGCTAAAATCAGTGCAGCTCAGTTCAAAGTAATGGTGTATTAGGTGGTTTTTCAAACTTGGCTACTTTAAGATATGTGGACTCCAACTCCCAGAATTCCGCAGCCAGCTTTGCTGGCTGGGGAATTCTGGGAGTTGAAGTCCACACATCTCAAAAGTTTGAAAAACCGTTGTGTAGGAATTACATCCAACTTTTTTAAAGCCCAATTTTATGAATGTTTTACTTAGAAGCTAATCTCATGGTGCTCAGTGGATTTACTTTAATTTCAACTCGATCGATTGCAATCTTACTGGCAGCATGGAAAAGTGACTCTGTTTTGGCTCGTGATGGGAAAAACAATTTTTTCCAATGAAATCCCCGAGTTCCACCATAACTCCTCAATGGGCTTAAAAAAACGGAGCCGCTTTTCCATTCTGCAAGTCTTGGACAAGCAGACATTATCAAAACGTTCATTCGCCTTTCCTCTTGTCCCGTCTTTGGAACTGAGGAGGCCCACCCACTCCCCCCAAAGCTTTAATATTTATATAAAGGGGTTGCACTTAATTAAATAATCTTGAACGGTGGCCCAGGAAGGAGAATGTTGGCCAGTGTGTAAGTCCCGTTGTAACGTTATCCCAGCGAGTAAAGCTTGATTTAGACTTGCTTGCAACTGTCCACAGGCATCGACACATTTCCGCTGCAGACAGCTTGAGGTCTTCTAGTCCAACCCCCTGCTCAAGCAGGAAACCCTCTACCATTTCAGACAAGTGGTTGTCCAATCTCTTCTTAAAAACTTCCAGAGTTGCAGAATTCACAACTTCTGGAGGCAAGCTGTTCCACCGATTAATTGTTCTCACTGTCAGGAAATTTCTCCTTAGTTCTAGGTTGCTTCTCTCCTTGATTAGTTTCCATCCATTGCTTTTTATCCTGCCTTCAGGTGCTTTGGAGGATAGGTTGACTTCCTCCCACCCCTTCTTTGGGGCAGCCCCTCAAATACTGGAAGACTCCTATCATGTCACCTCCTGGTCCTTCTTTTCATTAATCTAGATATACAGTTCCAGCAACCATTCCTTATATTCACTTACCTTCGCTATCGGTTCGCAAATGTGAGTGTGCATGTGCAGAGGGTCAAAAACGGGATGTGATGACGTCCAGGCAGGTGGGCAGAGCCTCTCACAGCCGCCACTACCGGTTTTTCCCGAACCGGATGGAACTGTCTGAATACCACCACTGCTTATATGTTTTAACCTCCAGTCCCCTAATCAATTAATTACTCAATCATTCAATCAAAAGACTCTGGTTGCTGGAAATAATCTGCCTTTTAATCCCACGAAGCCAATTCTGAAGTCCACATTCTTGATGGCAGGATCAGGCACGAGATAGGCCAGGGGTCTTCAAACTTGACAGCTTTAAGACTTGTGGACTTCAACTTCCAGAATTCTCCAGCCAGCTGGCTGGAGAATTCCGGAAGTTGAAGTCCACAAGTCTAAATTTGAAGACCTTTGAGATATGCCAACAACGGTGCACACCTCCCAAATCCCAACTCCGCGTCGTGCGGAGATGCACCCGCTTCATGCCAATCGTTGGACACCTCCTATGTTGTTATGCGCTTTGTCCTTCAAGCACCGCGTAGCCAGGACGTCAACATTCGCAGAATTATGAAGGCCACAGCTACACAACCGTCTCCAAACGACAGGCAGGGTACGTCCCCTGGCGTGCAATGAGGCCGAAGTCTAAATCAAGCTTTAAACACTTGACCGAATATCCCACCGGACCCCGACCGAAATTCTCCTCTCTGTGTGGCACTTAAAATCCCCGCAACCCTTCCCTACAAATACCACAGGGACGCTCTGTCAATCAATGCCTTTAGCAATGGGTTGGGAAGGAGGTCCCCCAATATGCCCTCTTTAGGAAAAGAACGAGTTTGCTTGTTTGGGGTTTTTTCATTTTTATATAGAGCTATAGATAGATATAAAAATCCCTCAGTTGCTTAGCTCACGGCCTTGCTACTTTTAACAGCAAAATTTGACCTAGCTTTTTTGCATGTTAAAGGTTGGATTTCGCACCCGGTCCCGAACCAGGCTTACTCTGCACAATTCACTGCTTTCCCCTCCCGCTGTGCAAATCCTTTGGATTTAAAAAAATAATAATAAGGAAAACGGAGTGATAGGAGACAAGTGTAAGCTAAAACCAGTGTTTCTCACGCCTCCCTTAGGTGTGTGTATGTGTGTGTCCCGTTGGTGCTTGTGTGTGAGTAAGGTTGTCATTTAGCTGACGGGAGACCCAGGGACCCCCACTTTTCCGTAGCAGAAGTGGCCTGGTGTCCCAGCTAGGTAACAGCCCAAAAAAGATCTCAATTTCAGAAGCTCCATATTTGTATAGAACTTTTAGCCAAGTTCTCTCATCCCTCTTGGTGCTTTCTTCTCCTCGGCCCCCCACACACGTGGGGACACTCAGTAAGGGGGGAGCACCCATCCACAGGCGTTAACGGGCCCACATAGGACAGGCCCATGGTCTACGCACGATGGCCCCCGTTTTCCAGAGTGGGGGCCCACTCCCATCCAGCTGGGGAATGACCGTTTTGCAAAAATTTCGGGGTCTGTTCCCCCTCTGGCGAGAGGCGGCAACGGGATGGGCAAGCTCTATTTCGGAGGCCCCCCCACTCCCGTTCTCTTTCCTGATCAGCCGCATAGAAAACCGCACTCTTAAAGAGGGGCCGGCCCTGCCCTGGACACCATCTTTGCCTCGGTCATTGTTCACCCGTGCCTTCATGTTGACAACTTCACCAGCTGCAACCGCAAAACACCAACCCGGTCACGAATCCGGCCACTTCCAATCGTTTTCCCGGTTGAGGAGTGAACACGGCTGCGGCCAGTGGCACAGCGGAATGGGAGAACGTGGCTAATTCCCAGACCCTCTTGCACAAGGTAGGTTCCTCCTTGGTGCCATGGAGCATGGGACCCCCTTCCTGACGACGTCGTTCCTTTGCAAGTTTCGCAGTTCGGAACGCGAGAAGATCGCCGAAGAGGGTTGTGAGGAGAACCCGCTCCACTCGGACCTACCATCCCGGACTGTTTCCCTTTCGTCGCAAGCCAAGCTCTCACGCACACTTACGTGTACACCCAAGATACAAGCGCACACACCAATGCAGTACACCAAGCACGCGCAATCTCACAAATCGACGGGCCACAACTGGCTCAGGCAGCTGTATTTTTTTTTTTTTCAAAAGCCGCACTTGACAAACACGCACAGAACAATAGAATTTCAAAGCCAGGTGAAGAACGCAGGATAAGATGTCTCTCTCTCTTTCTCTCTTCTTCTCGTTTTTGTTGAGTTTGTTAGGATTCTAATTTTAAATTCCCCAGCCACAGAGCAAAGGGGCATCTTTGCCTCCACTGACCGTCCGCTGTTCCATTTTGCTTTCTTTGTATCGTGTAACCTTTCAAATCCATTTCCTCCTCCTTCTTTTCTTAGAGAACCTGGTGGGAAAAAAATGATGGTTCTCCCCGATTATTGTTGCCGTTGCCGTTTTGCTGTTATCATAGGAATTGTAGCTTTTTAACCTGATCGTCTGCCCCAAAGCTGGACGCTGCCACCGCCTGCACGCTTCTCCTCTGAATGTCCGCAGACCAGCTCCTCTTGGGGGAGGAAGAGCAAGAGGCTGGTGTCTCTGGGTTGCCTGGGCCAGCGCCCGTGTCCACAACCCCTCCTCTCTTGGCCTGCGAGGGGAACGTTTCTCGCCTGCTGTGGCCGTTTGTACTTCTGGGGACGCGTCGCGTAACGGCGACGTTTGGTGCTAAAGCTCTCCCCCTGAGCAACGGTGCTCTGTTCCTCCTTGAATTTAGACCACGTTGTGGCCATGGTGCTCTCGTCCTCTTTCCAAGTCACCTGGAACGGCTGCCAGCCAACACCAGCCGGGTGGCCGACCACCCGCCCGATCCCGATGGAGATCTGACCTCTGGCTGGCAGCGCTGCCCAAGTGCCCATGGTGCTCTTCTCTCTCTCACGCCCCCTCCGCCCCGCCAGATGACCCAGAGGCAGTGGTGCTAAGAACCCCTTGCCCCTCTCAGCCTTTACTCAGAGGTCGGTTTGAAAAGCAGAACCGCCAGCAAAAGAGCCCCTCGGCTCTTCGAGTTTGCCTTGACCGGGAAATGCAACGGATGTCCTTCCAGAGACCTTCAGAAGAAATTGGAGATGGCGGCAGCTCAGCGTGCCCAAAAAAATGCCTGTCTTCGGTCGCTCTGTCGCTAGCCATGCGGTGCCCTCCCTCCGCTCTCCAGCGGTAGTGGGTGGACGGTGGGTTGTGAGAAGCGAGTGGTCGCTTCCCTTTGCTGATGGGTGCCACCTAGCCCAAAGCAGAAGGTCAACAGAGATTCTCAATCCTCCAGGTCAGGAGTCTCCAACCTTGGCAACTTTAAGACTTGTGGACTTCAACTTCCAGAATTCCTCAGCCAGCTTTGAGTCCACAAGTCTTAAAGGCCTGTTGAAGTTGAAGTCCACAAGTCTTAAAGTTGCCAAGGTTGGAGACCCCCTGCTCCAGGTCATGCTTGTCCCAAAAGGTTTTTTCTCCCCCCAAAAGGCAACTGGACTTCCTTGTTTTTCTTTGGAAACGTTTCGCTTCTCATCCGAGAAGCTTCTTCAGAACTAATGAAGCTTCTTAGATGAGAAGCGAAATGTTTTCAATGGGAAAAAAAACCCAAGACATTCCAGTTGCTTTTTGAGTGGGAAAAAAAACCCACCTTGGGGCACCAAGTGGCACCCATGATCTGCTTTCCCCCAACTCGACGCCCTCCAGATGTGTTGATCTTCTGCTGCCATCGTCTCAGCCAGCTCTAGCCATGCTGGCTAGGAATGTTAGCAGCAAATATTCCAAAGTCTGAGAGGTATTCCAAACTGATGAGATTGGGGTACAGCAGGCTGACCCACTGGCGGCCTACCGACATTGGCGCACTCCCATCGTCTCTTCCTAGACGGAGAAGAGTGGATCTTCAATGGTCTCTGGAAGGCCACCCGCTCTACCCCGCTACGATCCAGAGACACAACCTCTTGCTCTTCCGGCCACCCCCTTTTACGCACACGCATCGCCTTTCGCCCATACGGTTGTTGTGCCAGCCAGCATTGATAAAGATTGAGGTCTGGAAGCTGCCTTCTGGAGAGGTTTTTCCTGGTGGACAGGACTCCTTGAGGTTCAGCCTTGCTCAACATTCTCTGGTGCCAAACCTGAGGTCTCTGGCCCAGGAGATCCTTGTTTTATCTCGATGCTAAAGTAGTCCAACTATCTGGCCGGGTGCCCTGTGTGATCTGGATATGTGCCCCAGAGATGGGCCCGGCATCCTTGAGTCCTCCAAAGCCTTGATAATATTCTCTCCTTGTCCTACAGGCCTTTGAGACTATACATCCATCCCTCAAGTGCCTCATCTTATTTCCAACTGGGGCTGGTGGGTGCCAGTAATTTGTTTTTAAGCCAGGTTTGCTTATCACAGGACGCCAGGCAAAACAACGGGTTTAATCAATACAGACTAAGAATCCATGCTATGCCATCTCAGGAACATTTGAGTGTTTGTGGCAGCTTTGTTGAAAATGTGTAGTTATGCAAACTGGTTAGAGATTAGAGGCCAATGATTAATAATATATCATTTTCAAAATCCTGATAGAAGAGAATATTTGTAGCTCAGAGTTGAACTGTGGAGGCCTTGGTGCTCTCTTGCGTTGGTGTGTGTGTGTGTGTTTTTTTTGTAGACATTTCATGACCCAACTAGGAAATAACATCAGTGTTGGAAGGGAGGAGGGTTGTGGAGAAGAGGAGGGGTCCTTGGTGCTCTCTGAGCTTGGTTGCTTTCTTGCAGGTGTTTCACGACCCAACTAGGGAACATCATCCGTGCTAGAAGGGAGGTGCGGTTTGCTCTCTCTACAATGAGTTTGCTCTACAGAGAGCAAACCACACTCCTTCTAGCACTGATGATGTTACATAGTTTGGTTATGAAATGTCTTCAAGGAAGCCACCAAGCTCAGAATGCTCTCGGAACCCCACAAAAACCTGATGTGTTGAACTTCAGCCTTTATCATCCCTATTCAGCCCAGCCCAGATCATGGGGGGCTGAATTCAGAAGGCCCTGAAGCAGTAAAAACACGCAGCAAATGGGAAGATAAAGAAATGCAACTTGTTCAACAGAATTGAATTTATCACACCGAGTTCAGGTTAATCCAGAGTGACCTTGGTTTTAAGATCAGGTTAGTGTAAATAAGTCTTCACTTTGGATTCGGACAATTGGGGTTAGCTCTTTCAGACACGTCTACCTGGGAAGGTGGTTCAGTTTTTCTCACGTCAGTTTCCTAAGTTCTGATGGCAAGGAATCCACTTGAGCAATCAATCCAGGGAGACAATTCAGGAATGTTAGAGACAGCAATTCCCCCAGAAAATCATCTGCCTCTACATCTTGAACCAACCTCCAGGTTAACCAATCTTCTTAACTTGATGTTTCTCAACCTTGGTGACTTTAAGAGGTGTGGACTTCAACTCCCAGAATTCCCCAGCCAGCAATGCTGGCTGGGGAATTCTGGGAGTTGAAGTCCACACCTCTTACAATCGCCAAAGTTGAATAAGACCTTGGTAAAGGTGACCCTGTGGCTGAACACCAGACCTGTCTGTGAAAATCTGGCTGGCATGACGAGGATTTTTGGGAAGGCTCTTTCGAAGGAGATAACCGTGCAGAAGGCTTCAGCGTCTTTAAAAGCTTTGGGATCTGTTCATATATATAATTTTTATACATATATATATAAATATATATATTATTTTCCTCTTATCTTTGTGTATGGTTAATTTTTTTCCCCCCTCTCTGTGGCGAGATCCAGTTTGGCCCCTGTTATGTCTGTATGTATCACTGTTGTGAAACATAAAATACGTCTGGTAACATGCAAAGGACTTTTCCGTGTCTGCGTGTGTGTTTTTAGCCTTCGAGGTCTAAAGAATAACGAGGGCCAGCAAAAGAAACCCTTTGGGGAGGGGGGGACAGGTGGGAGGGGAGGAAAAAGCAGCTTTGTTGAAGCGATTTGCAAAATACAAGCAGTCCTCGACTTGCAAAACAAAGGGAACCTTATTGTTGCTAAGTAAGAAGTCACATCTGATTTTATGACGCGAGAGCAAGAACCTGCCTTAAGTTCCATTTCTCAGTGCTGAACGGTCGCTAAAGAAATAGTTGTAAGTCAAGGACTAGTCCCCCACTTGCGACCACAAAGGAGCCCAAAATTTCTCCTGCTAACCAAGACCGTCGTTAAGTGAGTTTTGCCCCCATTTTATGACCTTTCTTGCAACAGCTGTTAAGTGAATAGTTGCAGTTGTCAGTAAACCTGGTCGGTAAGTGAATCTGTTTCCCCGTTGACTTGGCTTGTCAGGAAGTCGCAAAAGGGGATCACGTGACCCCAGGACGCTGCAATCGTCATAAGTACATGCCAGTTGCCAATCATCCAAAGTTTGATCACGTGACTGTGGGAGATGCTGCAATGGTCGTAAGTGTGAAAAAAGGTCATACGAGACTTCTTTCCATGTTGTAACTAAATGCTCACTAACTGAAGTCAAGGACTACCTGTCATTAAGGAAAAGATGGAATGGCTGCAAAGTTGTTTTTTAAAAAACGGGTAGTATTACGGGAATAGAATAGAATAGGAATAGAATAGAAATAGAATAGAGCAGAACAGAACAGAATAGTATAATATAGTTGGAAGGGACCTTGGAGGTCTTCTAGTCCAACCCCCTGCTTAGGCAGGAAGCCCTACACCACTTCAGACAAATGGTTGTCCAACATCTTAAAAATTTCCAGTGTTGGAGCATTCGCAATTTCTGGTGTCAAGCTGTTCCACAGATTAATTGTTCTGTCAGGAAATTTCTCCTTGGTTCTAGGTTGCTTCTCTGATTAGTTTCCATCCGTTGCTTCTGATCCTGCCTTCTGGTGCTTTGGAGACTAGGTTGACCCCCCTCTTCTTTGGGGCAGCCCCTCAAATACTGGAACACTGCTATCATGTCACTCCTGGTCCTTCTTTTCATTAAACTAGACATACCCAGTTCCAACAACCGTTCCTTATGTGTTTTAGCCTCCAGTCCCCGAATCAATTAATTAATCAATCAATGGTCGCTGGAAATAATCTGCCTTCTAATCCCACAAAGCCAATTCTGAAGTCCACCTTCCTGAAGGCAGGATCAGACACCAGATACGATGCAAAATTTGCCCAAACCTATGTACTCATGGACAACTTTCTTCATCTGTGCCACTGATTGAGCTTCCGAGCATCTACAGAAAGCCTCAAAATGTTTGGGCTTCTGTGGAGCAGATAAGCACACAACACCAGCTGAATCTTTGCTTCGACTTCAGATGGTCGAAGATGCAGATGGTCCGAGCGAGAGGGATCGATCGGTGGAGGTGGAAAGAACAGGAGGCAGAATCCTGCACCTTTTCCGCACAAATTGCCTCGTCATAACAGCCCAGAAGTAGCATCATCAGGAATATCTGTGCGTCAACGCATGATATGACGATGGGGATGATAATTTCTACCCTACCTAACATGCAGAGGATTGCAAGCTTAAATGTCCAGGGAATGGAAGAGCCAAATCTGCTTTTTCTTTATTTAGAGTTTTATCCCCACCCAGTGGTTACAAAGCAAAAATGCAAGCAATTTAAGTCACCTCTTAAGAGAAAGTTAATGATCACAAACGAGTCCAAATTTTCTGTTGTTAAGCGAGACGTTTGTTAAGTCAGCTTTGCCCCCTCTTACGACTTTTCTTGCCACATTCGTTAAGTGAATCGCTGCAGTTGATCAGTTAGCAACCTGGTTGTTAAATAAACCCGGCTTCCCTCTTGACTTTGCTTGTGAGAAGGTCGCAAAAGGGGATCCCGTGACCTTGGGATGATGCAACCGTCATAAATATGAACCAGTTGTGAAGCGTCTGAATTTTGATCCCGTGACCACAGGGGTACCACAACGGTCATAACTGAAAAATGGTAATATAAGTCACATTTTTCAATGACGTAACTTTAAACTCTTGTAAGTCAAGGACTAGCTGTAGTGAAGTTAGTTCAATACTGAAATAAACATATCCTTTTTTTTTTCCTACACAGAAGATGGGATACACAATAGTAGCTACCTTTCTCTGCCCCTATAAATCCTCACAGACAACGTGAAAACGGGGAAAACAAAAATTCCCCAATTGACAAAGACTTCTAACTATTCAACATTACTTCTGACTAACAGTCATCAGATGTGACAAAGTGATGGGGAAAGATTAAAAAAAAAAACTTTAAAAGATGGTCAGGTTCCACAGGAGTTCAGTTATATCCTATACATTGCTTCGCTGCATACAAGGCACTGTGTATGGTCCAAAATATAAGATACATTCAAATTACAAGGATTGGGAACTCAGAAAGCAAGGCCTAAACTGCTCAAAAGCCAAGTTAACAACTTGAGCAGCTTGTTAGAAAGAAAGAGAAAGAAAGAAAGAAAAAAGAAAGAAAGAAGAAAGAAAGAAAGAAAGAAAGAAAGAAAGAAAGAAAGAAAGAAAGAAAAAGATAGAAAAGAGCTAACTTTATTGTCATTGTACGTGTATACACAGTATACCCATACAATGAAATTCACTTAACACCCGAAGACCAGGTCCTACACGCATAACAATCCCCAAATACCCCCCACCCACCCACCACAATTCCCCATCCCTAAACCACCCAAACATCCACACAACAGACCAAGTAATGCTGTCCAACAGCTCACCGATGGTGGCCCTTGAGTTCATGGTTGAGTGCAATTATAGAAAGGAAGCCAATGAAAAGAAAGGAGCAGACTTGGCTATCCCACTTGTTCACCCCAACTTACTGAGCTCCCTTTGAACAGTGATGACTTGAAGAACTAAAAGCAAATAGGGAAGATTCTAAAAAGTTTCTAAAAGAAATCTACTTGAGAGATCTGAAAGAATTCAGGTGTGAAATAACAGATCCAGCTAACATAGTCCCTTACATGCCACAGAATTTTTGAATATAGATTTGGGGGTGTTTCAAGAAATTACCATTTCATTTATGGCCCAATCTGGGGAAATTGGTGGGGATATGCTATTAAAAAATGAAGAATGAAGAGAAAGCAGCAAGAATGGAGAAATGATGTGGATGTTTAAAGCAGTGTTTTTCAAACTTGGCCACTTGGAAGATGAGTGGACTTCAACTCCCAGAATTCCCTGGTCAGCTGGGGAGTTCTGGGAGTTGAAGTCCACTCATTGAAAAACATTTTAGGGAGTTGCACAAATGCTTTCCTTTCCTTTTGTAAACCATGCTTTCATGGCTTAGCATGTTAACCCAGCCAATCGTGGTTTAGTGAACCAATCATGGCTTAAGCTGGTTTAACTCTCGGGGATTTACCAAAAAAAAAAAAGGTTTCAGGTGATCCCTGAATTTATAATATCTATTGCTACTTTTCTCCTTCGACACCCGTGTTAGGTAGCCCAACATTGCAAGCCACGCCCAACTACACGAGCAAGCCCCGCCCCCTTCTTCGGCCGGTGATTGAGGATTTCAGATGAGCCAATCGCATCCACTCCTACTTCTCAAGTCATACCACGTCAGCCAATCCGGACTCCTGGAAACGCCCCCCCCCGTCCAAAACGATCGCCCTATCCTATCCCGATGTTTGCTCTGTCTTTTAAGCGGCGCTCTAGCCCGGGACAGTCTTTTCTATGGTGGGTCGCAGCTCCGCCCCTCCTCAAGAAGCGGATCCTCGAGGCGCTTCTGCGCGTGAGCGGCACGCGCCAAGCCCCGCCCGCCGCTGACGTCTCCGCCGCAGGCTCCGCCCCCCCGCGCTTTTCCCGCTAAGCGGTGGTTTGCGACGGGCGGGCTTGACGGCTGCTGGGTTTCCCCCCCACTCTCGGCCCCCCGTGGCTGGTTGTCAGGGCGCCTCGCTTTACGGCCCGGCGGCGATGGCGGAGGGAGAGCGGGCGGAGAACGGCAACGGGGGCGGAGGAGGAGGCAGCGCCGGGCGGCCGCCGCAGGAAGGGGAGCCGGGGGCGCTGGAGCGAGCCGAAACCCTCAAGACGCAGGCGAACGATTACTTCAAAGGTAGCGGGGACGGGGGGGGGGGGGGGGGGGGGGGGGGGGGGGGGGGGGGGGGGGGGGGGGGGGGGCGGGGGGGGGGGGGCCGGCAGCGGGAGTGGGAGGAGCCTCCTGCGGGGCGGGGCCAAAGGCCATTGACAGGCTAGGGAGAACGAATTCCTCGTGGGCTGGGTGGACTCCAGGCCCCATCATCCCCGGCCGACAAAAGGTGTGTGTGTGTGTGTGATGGGTTTTGTAGTCCAGGGCGATGATCTCCTTTGGACTGAAGAGTGTGTTGCCCCCATCGTGGCTGATGGGCATCGTCCCTGTGTCCTCCGTTCCTGGGGGCAGCATGGACTGCAGGACCCATCTTCCACAGCCAGGGAGGCCCGATGGGAGTGGGGAGTCTGGGGGGTTGGAGAGGCCGGGGGGGGGGGCTGGAGGAGGGGGCTTCCCTTGCCCGGGGTGGGGGTGATGGGGTCTCCCTTTCCTGGACCTTGGAGGCCAGCATGGAAAACGCAGCGAACCCCCCAGCTTCTTTTGGGGGGGCCTTGCTGCCCATCTACAGGGCCTTTGACCTGGCTGTGGATGATGGGAAGAAGCCGGTGGGGAAGGGTCTTCCCTGTGAAAGGAGCTGCTTCGTTTAACTCCGGTGTTTGGCAGGCACGGACCTGATGGACAGAGAAGAGTCGGAAGGAGGAGGCCTAAGGGTAGCCTGATAGCAATCTTCCAATATTTGAGGGGCTGCCACAAAGAAGAAGGGGTTGGACTAGAAGACCCCCAAGGTCCCTTCCAACTCTGTTATTCTATTCTATTCTAAAGAAGAAGGGGGGGGTCAACCTAGTCTCTAAAATACCTTGAAGGCAAGACGGATGGAAACAAAGCAACCTGGAATTAAGGAGAAACTTCCTAACAGTGAGGACAATGATCCAGTGGAACACCTTGCCACCAGAAGTTGTGAGTGCTCCATCACTGAAGGTCTTTAAGAAGAGACTGAACAACTACTTGTCCGGAATAGTATAGAGTGTCCTGCTTGAGCAAGGGGTTGGACTAGAAGACCTCTAAGGTCCCTTCCCACCCTGTTAACATTCAAGAGAAGGGGATGCTGGCTGGTATCCCTGGTTGATTATCCCCTCTTCGCCTGAAACGGGCATGCAGTCCAAGGCTTAGGCCTACCTCCATGCAGCCTTAACCTCATTTGGAGAATAAAATGAAATGGCCACCTTAAAATGGCTAAGATTGGGAAATGCTGACTCAGCAAGTCCTTGCATGACTGTAGGCCCTTCGGGGTAGGCCAAGCCACCCCAACAACTCCTGGGGCTCCATGGCTGTAGAGTCTAATCACAGAATCGTGAAGGACTGGCAGACTCTGCCCACTCTTCATTAAGGTGCACTTCTTCTCGTGTTCCCTCCTCTCCCTGGATTTCGTTGTCCCTTCCTTTCCTCTCTTATGACTTATCTCTTCATTAGATTTGGAGGCCACCCAATTTGGGAATTACTCTGGATAGTTTACAGTAAAAAAAAAAAGAAAAGTAAAGCTGGGGATTCCGCTGAGAATTCTTGCATTACTTGGACAACTTTATCTAGACCAGCAGGTTGAGATCGAACTGGACAAATTGGGTTATGGGTTAAGAGCCAACTTGGCTCAGTGGTTAAAGTGCTGTCCTAGAAACTAGGGGACGGTGAGTTCTAGTCCTGCCTTAGGTGTGAAGGTCAGCTGGGTGACTTTGGACCAATCACCAGGAAACCGTGAGTTCTAGTCCCGCCTTAGGCACGAAAACCAATTGGGTGACTTTGGGCCAATTTTATTTATTTATTTATTTATTTTATTAGATTTATATCCCGCCCTTCTCCCCGAAGGGACTCAGGGCGGTGAACAGCCGAAAATTAAAATAACATGCAATATAAAAGTTCAGATAATTAAAAATAAATTAAATAAATGGCCTCCCAATTTAAAACCCCTAGCTATACAATTAAAAAACCAATAAAACCCAATCACCAGGAGATGGTGAATTCTAGTTCCGCCTTAGCCATGAAGGCTGTCTGGTTGGGCCAATCACCACAAGATGGTGAGTTCTAGTTCCGCCTTAGGCAGGAAAGCCAATTGGGTGACTTTGGGCCAATCACCAGGAGATGGTGAGTTCTAGTTCTGCTTAGCCATGAAGGCTGGCCGGGTGACTCTCCCTTAGCCCAAGGCACCTCGCAGGCTTGTTGCTATGGGGAAAATAGGAAGGGGAAGGCGTATTAAGTACGTTCGCTGCCTTGAGTTACTTATAATAAAAGCGAGATAATAATCTAATAATAATAATTACCTCTGTTGATTGCATGCAAGCAAGGGAGAGCATTCACAATATGGCTCGTGGTCTGGATACCCACTAGAATCATCTTTTTAGAGCGCAGTGATCGGTCTGGAGAATTAAGCACTTAAATCTGTTATAATCAGCAATTTGTAGCACTTTGTGAATGAACAGCCAGCCAGATCCACTGTTAATTTTTAGAGCGGGTTGACCGGCTGGCTGAAGCAGAGTCACTTTCCGATAGGGTGAAAGTTGAAACGTGTGTCCTTTCTTCCACAAATTGGGAAAAGTTGCCTGCAGAATAAGAAAGTTAGAATTCTATTTCTTTTGCCTTTTGGGGATTCAACAGAAAGCGATCTCCTCCAACTGGGCTCACAGGAGCCTTAGATTTCCAATCGTTGTCCTTGAAAAATCAGTTTCTAATGGTGGATTCCTCTGCTTTCTTGCTGGGCTAGTGCTTAATTTTTGCCCCCAGGTTGCGCTTCGATGAAGTTGGTTATTAAACAGTTCGGACTGCCAGAATGTGGCTGCCTTTTAACCCATGCCAGGGGTGGCTTATGCCCTGAAGGGAGAGGGTTTTTTTATATCCTCTTAGTTTCTATTTCATTCTGGCTTTTGTGGATCCTTGTTGTGTAACACAGAAACGTCGTCTCTACAACAGTGTCCTCCTGTTTGCTCTTTTTCCTGACACCTTTGACCCTGGGGGGGGGGATTTGGAGACTCCAGGACAAAATCCACGGGATCGAAAACATTCTAAAAAGACAGTCAGCTCTTGGCCCAACACTGGGTAGACATGGTGCTCCATTAGCTGAAGTTTTGCTTCAAGGGTGAGAATTATCACTAGGGCAAAAATTGTGGGGTCCTTGCTGCTCCCTGAGCTTGATGACTTTCTTGCAGACGTTTCATTACCTGACTAGGTAGCACCATCAGTGCTAGTAGAGAGAGGGGTTTGTGGGAGTGGAGGAGGACTGCGGGGTCTTTGGTGTTCTCCGAGCTTGCAAACATTTCATTACCTGACTAGGTAATATCATCAGTGCTAAGAGGGAGTGGGGTTTCTGGAGAGGAGGAGGAGGACTGTGGGGTCCTTGGTGGTTTTCCTGCAGACGTTTTATTACCCTACTAGGTAACATCATCAGTGCTAGTAGGGAGTAGAGTTTTCTCATTTTAACAAGCCAACAGTAAATAACCCATCTTGGAACCACGATGACTACTCCCACCAACACTGACAGGAGAAATCACTAGTATATAAAATGAAAGCAAACGAGAGAGAGAGAGAAAGATGATAGATTGATAGAAATAGATAGATAGATGGATGGATGGATGGATGGATGGATGGATGGATGGATGGATGACAGATAGATAAGATAGAGAGAGAAGGAGATAGATAGATAGATAGATAGATAGATAGATAGATAGATAGATAGATAGATGATAGATGATAGATAGATAGATAGATAGATAGATAGATAGATAGATAGATAGATAGATGATAGATAGAGCTGTTCTTTTCATGCCTTCTTCCTTTCTCTTCCCCCCCCAGTGAAGGACTATGAGAACGCAGTCAAGTATTACACCCAGGCCATTGAGCTCAACCCCACCAATGCCATCTATTATGCCAACCGCAGCTTGGCCTACCTGCGGACGGAGTGCTATGGCTATGCCCTGGCCGACGCCACCAAGTCCATCGACCTGGACAAGAAATACATCAAAGGCTACTACCGCCGAGCGACCAGCAACATGGCCTTGGGCAAGTTCAAGGCAGCTTTGCGGGATTACGAGACGGTAAGAGAGAGAAACGGGGGGGGGGGCGGTGTCCGAGAAGGGGTGGGAGCAGGCGTTATCTCACCCATGGTCCACAGGCTGCAGGCGGCCCTGGAGAGCTAGTAACTCAGCCCCACAAGGTTGGAAACTTTTAACATCCCACGTAGACTTGAGATCACAATCATCATCTTTTAAGGACCCCATAATCCCTTGTGGGGGATGGAATCTGGGCAACTGAATGGAGCAGAGTATTTCCTTGCCAGATGCCCTTCCTGTTGCCAGGACGGAGTTTTGTTCAGCAGATACATTCTCATTGTGCCCAGAGAGAGAGAAATATCTGCCTCTACCTAGGATCGAACTCACAGCCTCCTGATTGTGAGGCGAGAGCTCCCCCTCTAGGCCACCACACCACTCCACTCGAGACCACAGTGGAAGCCAAAATTTATATTGCCAACTGAGATATTAGTTAAGTAGGTCCGGCCCCGGTCCCCCCCCCCCCCCCCCCAATTTTAGTTTGTTAGTAACACGGTTGTTAAGCGAATCAGGCTTTTCCATTGACTTTGCTTGTTAGAAAAGTCACAAAACGGGATGACGTGACCCCGGGCACATTTGCGACCGTCATAAATATGAGCCAGTTGCTGAGCGTCCAAATTTTGATCACATGACCGTGGGGCTGCTGCAGCGGTCATAAGTGTGAAAAACGGTCCTACGTCCCTTTTTTCAGTCCCGTTGTAACTTCCAACGGTCACAAAATGAACTGTTGTACGTTGAGGACTGTCTGTTATTTATCTACATCAGTGTTTCTCAACCTTGGTAGCTTGAAGATGGGTGGACTTCAACTCCCAGAATCACCCAGCCAGCAGCGCTGGCTGGGGGATTCTGGGAGTTGAAGTCCACCCATCTTCAAGCTTCCAAGGTTGAGAAACACTGATCTACATGAACTATATCCTATATTTTATACGTGGCCCAAGACCGTTCCTCTTCCCTCACAGCGGCCCAGGCCAAGCCAAAAGGTTGGTCAGAAGGGCGAAACTGATCCGGGCCTCCCCTCCCTCTACCTTTCCTCCCCTGCCCGCCCCAGGTGGTCAAGGTGAAACCGAACGATAAGGATGCCAAGATGAAATATCAGGAATGCAACAAGATCGTGAAGCAGAAAGCCTTCGAGCGCGCCATCGCCAGCGACGAGCACAAGCGGTCAGTGGTCGACTCCCTGGACATTGAGAATATGAGTGAGTCGGGGCAAGAGAGATGCGGGGGGAGGGGGTTGTCGTTTTCGGGAAACTCAGCAGGGTCCCCTGGCCTTGGAGGCAGCTACTGCCTCTTTTCAAAGGCTTCTCAGGCTACCAGCCACAAGGTTGTCCCCCCACCCACCCCGAGAGTGAAAAGGGGAGAGGGGCTGAATCATAAAAGAAGAGCTGGAAGCCCAGTTATTGAATTGGGGCATAAATACAGGTGTTACCCACCTTGGCAATTTTTAAGATTTGTGGACTTCAACTCCCAGAATTCCCAAGAGAAGTTGGAAGTCCACCCAACAATAGCATGCTGGCTGGGGGAATTCTGGGGGAATCCACAAGTTGCTGGATGGCTGAGAAACCTCGGGGAGTTGAAGTCCACAAGTCTTAAAAGTTGTTTGCTCACGGGGGGGATTCTGGGAGTTCAGGTCCACAAGGCTTAAAAGTTGCATGCTGGCTGGGGGATTCTGGGAGTTGCACGAGGCTTAAAGTTGCATGCTGGCTGGGGATTCTGGGAGTTGAAGTCCACAAGTCTTAAAGTTGCCAAGGTCTGAGAGACCCTGCCTTAGATCCTACTGCTAAAATGGAAACTAAGAGAGCAACTCCAGACTTTGCTAGGAAGTCAAGCTTGGTGCCCACCTGGTGACTGGAGGAGACCCCTGGAAGGGTCTGGCTTCTCCCAGCCTTTCCTTGACGGCTCCTTTGCTCACCTGAGTCCTTCTCCTCCCTCTCCTTCAGCCATTGAGGACGAGTACAGTGGGCCGAAACTGGAGAACGGGAAGGTGACCTTGGACTTCATGAAGGAACTGATGCAGTGGTACAAGGAGCAGAAGAAGCTGCACCGGAAGTGTGCATATCAGGTAGCTGCCCCTCCCCGTCCCTTCTACAGGTAGTCCTCGACTTACGACCTCAGCTGGGACCCGAATGTCCTTCTTAAGGTCAGCGCAGTCATAAAACCAGTGATCCCGTGACTCGATTTTGCAACTGTTTCTCCCATGGTCGTTAAACAAATCGCTAGGATGGTTAAGCAGATGGTTGCGGTCATTAAACGAGTCCAGTCGGGAAGGCTGCCACTTGCAAATTGCGCAACTGCAGAAGACTTAAAAATTGCAATTATATAAATTGCAGCGGGGGGGATGCGATAGTCATAAGGGCGAGGACAGATCGCAAATCCCTACTTCCGAGGCCGTTGCCACTTTGAACTGTTGTTAAAACAAATGGCCATAAGTCAAGGACAGCCTGTATTGGAAAAGACCTCCCTCTCCAGCCCAGGATATTTTGTTCCCCTTTCCTACCCTGCCTGCCTGCTTGTCAACCACTCCTCCTTTCCTTCCTGCAGATTCTGGTACAGGCGAAAGAGGTGCTATCAAAACTCCCCACCCTCGTAGAAACCACGTTAAAAGAGGTAAGGGCCTCTCCTTGTTTGTTTGTTTATTACTGTTGCATCCACCAACATAGCTTGCCCATTTCAAAGTTGCAACTCGGGGTGGCTCTCACAGGGTTAAAGCAACGAAGGAAAACACTGTAAAAAAAAAAAGGAAGGGGAAAAAAATGGAATTAATTGCATGTTGCATCTCTGATTCCTCCCTTATTCCCACAACTTGGAATATAAAGACTCTTTAGTCCAGCATTTCTCCATCTTGCCAGCCTGAAGAGGGATGGACTTTAAGAAATATGGACTTTAACTCCCAGAATTCCCTGGCCTGCATACTAATAAACCTTAAGAACTTCAACTCCCAGAATTCCCTGTCCTGCATGCTAATAAACCTTAAGAAATATGGAATTCTTAAGAAATAAGAAATATTTGCTGGGGAATTCTGGGAGTTGAAGTCCACTCATCATCTAAGTGCCAAGGTTGAGAAACATGCTTTAATCACTCTTAGATGATTTTTGACCTACCACCAACTTGCTCTTTTGATGGTAAGAAAATGACACCACCAATTATCCCACCAGTTATCTCCACTGGTGCATCCCAATTCTACCCGGCTCCTTTGATCTTGCGTGCCTGTCCCACAGGGCCCTCCCTCCAAGGATCTTCTGTTTCCCAGCGCTCACCAAAAATAATCAATTCCCCCCCTCCCCACTTTCCAAGGAGCTCGTTAACCTCTTTGGAGCTGGGGAGAGGGCTGGTGGCGGTGGCAGGACCCTGTAATTAAGTGAGGTGGATTAGTGTCACCACCATGCACAGGTGCGCCTGCTAGGCCTGGCTCAGCTGATACAGGTGAGCCTCTCCTGCAGCTTGTCCCAATTTCGTGGCTTTCTTATCTGCCTGAAATTGGGGTCATTTTCGTCTGACAAAGCAGAGCAAAGCCTTTGATGTCTGCCTGGAAGCACCGGAGAGGTTTTTCCTGGGTCCCTTTAAGAATTTGCTCGGGGCGCCAAGTCTCTTAGTCAAACCACGAGAGACGGAAAAATATTATCCCGGTGATAAAAAAAAAAACCCGCTCCTATCTGACTCATCTTTATGACCTCTGCTGACTCTCTGTCTTCTTCCTTCTCCTTTCGTTCAGACGGAGAAAATTACCATCTGTGGAGACACCCATGGACAATACTATGACCTCCTGAACATATTCGAGCTGAATGGGCTGCCCTCCGAAGATAATCCATATGTATCTTTTGGCCGGAGGGGGGGGGGAGGCGCTCATTGGGGTGGCTGGAGGTTCTGGGAATCTGCGGCTTCTTGGAGAGAAGGGCAGCTGCGGCACTTCTGGGACAAGGAAGGAAGGAGAAGGAAGGAAGGGAGAAGGAAAGGAAATTGAGAAAGGGAAAGAGGAAAAGGAAGGAAGAAAGGAAAGGCAGGAAGGAAAGGGAAGGAAGAAAGGAAAAGAAATTGAGAAAGGGAAGCAGAAAAAGGAAGGGAGGAAATTGAGAAAGGGAAGGAGGAAAGGAAGGAGGAAAGGGAAGGAAGAAAGGAAAAAAAATTGAGAAAGGGAAGGAGAGAAGGGAAGGGAAGGAAGAAGGAAAGGAAGGGAGGAAATTGAGAAAGGGAAGGAGGAAAGGAAGGGAAGGAGGGAAAGGAAAGGGAAGGAAGATTTGATTTCCTCTGTTATTTCCTTGAATAAGCCACCCTACCTCAGCTGTTCAATGGGGATTTTGTGGACCGCGGTTCCTTCTCGGTGGAGGTGATACTAACCCTCTTCGGATTCAAGCTGCTATACCCCGATCATTTCCACTTACTCCGAGGTAAGCCTCGGATTCCCCACAGATTTGCAGGGCAAGGAGGGGCAGGAGGGTGGGCTCTACCCCCACGTCCCCAGCAGCTCCGTGCTCATTTTCCAGCCCTTGTGCCTGATTCCTCTCCTCCTTCAGGGAACCATGAAACGGACAACATGAACCAGATCTACGGGTTCGAGGGCGAGGTCAAAGCCAAGTACACGGCTCAGATGTTTGAGCTCTTCAGCGAAGTCTTCGAGTGGTTGCCCCTGGTGCATTGCATCAATGGGAAAGTGTTGGTAAGGGGGCTGGTGGGGGGGGGGTCGCTGGCTTGGCAGAAGAAGCCAAGACAGTGGTCTCGAAGACGCGATGGAAGCCCGGGTGATACGTTGGCTGGTTGGCCCCCATCTCTCTGACTTTAGGGCTCCTCTCCCCCAACCAGATAATGCACGGTGGACTCTTCAGCGAAGACGGCGTCATGTTAGACGATATCAGGAAGATTGAGAGGAATCGTCAACCTCCAGACTCAGGTGAGCAGAAGACTTGATGGGGAAAAGAAGACGTGTGATAGGCTCAGGGGTCTAGCTGCTTCCTGCTCAGGTGGGCCTCCCATTGGCCTAAAGAAACAAACTTTTGATCAACGTTCCCCAACTCAATGCCTTCCAGCCCCTTTGGACCTCACTTCCCATGTTGCATGACGTCATGGGTGATGGCCTTGCCCAAGATCTCTGGAGGTTGGAGGAATATCACGGGTGGTGTTTGTGGGTCCATATCTCTGCCCCCTTGTGTTTTGGGCTTTGCCTCCTCACCCTATCAGCAGAAGCTTAGCTGGATCGAAGTATCTCAAGATACCTGCACGTTGAGCTTGTTGGTGAAGACCTGGATTCTTGGTAGATGAGCAAAACCCAAGTGAGGTTTAGCAAAACATTTCATCTTGTCAAGAATGATCCACTAATATTCTGTTTTGTGTTTTGTTTATTTTTGCCTTCCTTGTTCTCTTCGCTTGACCTCTTCTCTTGGGCAGGCCCCATGTGTGACCTGTTGTGGTCAGATCCCCAACCCCAGGTGAGTCCAGCTTTGGCACCCCAGGTGTCCTTCAACTTCGTGTTCAGGTCTTGGCGTTATCTGAGCCCCACCTCATCCCTAAAATCTCAGCATGTGTTTGCACACGTGTGTTGGGCAGGAAAGACCACACGTGAAAGTCTAATTCAACTATTGCTTAGAGCCCATGCATGTGCAGGAATCTTCTCCGCTAATGGTTTCGCCTGCTTGGAGTTAGAGAAGCTCAACGGCAGTCAAGGGAGATCGGATTTAGTCTGCTTGTGGCTTCCGTAGGGATTCTAGGCTGATGCCTCTTTTAACCCCGCCCTCCAAGTTCTACTCCTCCTCCTTACGGCCTGGTTTTTGAATCAGCTGTTCTCTTCCCCAGGAATTCTGATTCTCCAAGGTTGGGTGTAGTTCTTTCTTCAGATGGCATTAATTGATTAATTTTTCAGCTGGCCTTAACGAACTAATTAAGGGTGCACAAAGGAAATTGTTCTGGTTGGTGGGGATGGTTCATAATGCTGCAGGCTACCATAGGGCAGGGGTCTCCAACCTTGGCAACTTTCAGACTTGTGGACTTCAACTCCCAGAGTTGAAGCTTTGCTGGCTGAGGAACTCTGGGAGTTGAAGTCCACAAGTCTGAAAGTTGCCAAGGTTGGAGACACCTGCCATAGGGAGCGGAGAAAGCCCACAATATGCTGTTAGAGATCCTAAACACACACACACACACACAATTTTTTAAGAGGAGGACTCAGATAAGCCAAATCCCCATCCATCCACCTCTGGGAATTTTGTCCACCATTGTTGAGGGGTAAGTAAGATACTCTTGATAGAGATATATAGTCTCTGGCTTACGACCATAACAGAGCCTGCCCATCACGGTCGTAACTCAGGACGGTTATCAAATCGAGTCACCCATGCGACCAACTCGACTTTTTTTTTTACAACCCTTTTTTTTTTTTTTTTTTTGGTGCTATTGACATTAAACGAGTCCTTCCAGCTGTTTAAATGAATCTCATGGTGGTTAAGCGAATCTGGCAATCCCCCGTTGGCTTTGCTTGTCAAAACTAGCCGGAAAAGTCACAAATGGTGATCACGTCACCCCGGGATGTTGCAACCGTCCTAAAATAATTGCCCGGTGTCCAAATTTGGATCATGTGACCGCTGCAAGTATGGAAAACTTCTTTCAATTCTGTTGTTAAGTTCGGTCGCTGAACGAACGGGTTGTAAGTCAAGGAGCGCCTGCAGAAGAAGAGGGAAAGACCGACGCGATCGGATTTGGCCCAATTCGGTTGTTACGGCTCGCTCTTTCTCGTTGGCCAGACAGGGTCAACATTTCGTTCCTTTGTCTTCTTTCAGAACGGCCGGTCGGTCAGTAAGCGAGGAGTGAGCTGCCAGTTCGGTCCCGACGTCACAAAGAGTTTCCTGGAAAGCAACCACCTAGACTACATCATTCGAAGCCACGAGGTGAAGCCCGAAGGATACGAGGTCGCTCACGATGGGAAGTGCGTCACGGTTTTCTCGGCCCCCAACTACTGGTGAGTCCGCGAGGGGGGATTGCTGGGACACCCCCTCCCCCTTCAATGCGTCCCTCTAGTGAAGAAAGCTGGACCGGGGGACCCTGAAACCCCCTTCCCCCACTCACAGTTTCAATTTTTGCAAATGGGGGGGTTGGCATGGAGATGTTTTAAGGGTGGATTTTCTTGAAAAACAAAATTTGCCGATTAGCTGGATGCCCTTCCCTGGAGAGGAGGGGAGGGGGGGAAAAACCCCACATCCATCACGTACAGGTCGTCCTCAACTTACAACTGTTCATTTAGTGACCATTCGAAGTTACAACAGCCCTGAAAATAGTGGCTCGCGGCTGTTTTTCATGCTTAACGGACGTTGCCAATTTATTTATTGTATTTATTTATTTATTGGTTCGATTTATATGCTGCCCTTCTCCAGAGACTCAGCGGCTTACAATGCGTTAAGCAATAGCCTTCATACTTTTGTATATACCTGCTTAGTAGGGCTTTTGGCCCCCCCTATGCGGTGTTCTTTTTTTATACAAAGTCAGTTTATTGCCCCCACAATCCGGGTCCTCATTTTACCTCCCTCGGAAGGATGGAAGGCTGAGTCAACCTTGAGCCTGGCAAGAATTGAACTCGCAGTAATTGCAGGCAGCTGTCAGCTAAGTCCTATTTTAACAGCACTTTAGTCCGCTGCGCCACCAAGGCCATTGTGGCTCTTCCTGCCCCTCCAGCTGTTCAGAGAACAGCCGGCCAACCTCTTTCCCCCATCCCTCTTTTGCCAGTGACCAGATGGGTAACAAGGGGGCCTACATCCACTTGCAAGGCTCGGACCTGCGGCCGGAGTTCCACCAGTTCACAGCAGTGGTGAGTCCTGGCTTGTGGGGTGAGGGGGACCCTGGTGCTCCAAGGTTCTTGCCCTGGGCTTGGGCATCTGGGTGAGGCAGCCTCTGGGAGGAGAAGGTGGGTGAATTCACTGAATTTTCTTTCTTTTTTTTTCTTTCTCCCTCCCTCCCTCCTTGTTTCTTTCCTTCCTTTTCTCTCTATTCTTCCTTCCTTCTTTTTTGCTCTATCTTTCCTTCCCTGCTTCCTTCTTCTTTCCCTTCCTTCCTTCGTTCTCTTCCTTCCGTTTCTCTCTGTTCCTTCCCTTTTTCTCTGTTCCTCCACCTTTCCTTTTTCCTTCTTCTTTCCCTCCCTTTCTTCCTTCCTTCTCTACTCTTCCTTTTCTCTCTGTTCCTTCCTCCCTTTTTCTCTATTCCTCCATCCTTCCTTTCCTTCTTCCTCCCTCCCTCCCTCCCTCGCTCCCTTCCTTCTCTATTCCTCTTTCCTTCCTTTTTTTCCCTCTATTCCTTTCTTTTTTCCCCCTATCCTTCCTTCCTCCCTCAGCCTCATCCAAACATTAAGCCCATGGTTTACGCCAACTCGCTGCTGCAGCTGGGGATGCTATAAGGCCGCCTTCCACCTCTGCTGACCGGCCCCTTCCCCTCCCCTCCCAGACCGCCTGGAGGTCCACTCACCGGGCAGCGACCGTGATTTCGGAGGGGGTGTTTCCTTCTTTTTTTTTAATCATTTCTCCCAACATCAGCCTTCACTACGGAGCAGGACTATGCCGCGGCCAGGGGGACGGGACGGAAAAAAATCTGTGTCAGAGTCGAGAGAGGAGAGTCCCTTTCCTCCAAGAGCAAGCAAGGATCCCAGGTGGTTCTTTCCTGTGCACTCACTCACCTGGAGTGCTTCACCTGTGGGAGAAACAGCAGTCGGAGCGTGAAGAAACAAAAGGATGTTTGTTTGTTTTTTTAAAAAAGAAAAGATTATATATTTTGGAAGACTGTATTTATTCCCTTGGTCCTCGGTGATTGTTGATGTTTTTTTTTCTTTCCATAGTCCTCCTCACCTCCTTCCTTTCTTTGCCGCTGCACAGCTGAGAAAGGAGACCCGGAGGGGGAAATGGTGGGTGGGTGGGGGGCTTAGGAGCCTGCGGGGCTTCCCTCTTATCCCCGAAAACGTCTCCCTATCGGGAGTTTTCCTCTGCCCTCCCTCCCTCCCCACCTTCCTTCCTCGGCTGAGCAGCCCCTGCGTCTGTTGGAGCCGAAATCCAGCGAATGTTTCCAGCTGGGGGTAGCCAAAAAAGATCAGGGGGTGGGAGCTGTTCAGAAGAGGAACCTGTAGGTGAAGGAAAGGGTCAACTCACCCACTCACTCACCCCACACACACATTCAATTTTTTTCAATCATGGATGGATGCTTTCTCAACCTCGGGGGACCTTAAGACGGGTGGACTTCAACTCCCAGGATCCCCCGAGGTTGAGAAAGCATCGATCTATCTTGGCCAGAGGAGGAAGGAAGCAACCTGACCTCAACCATCCATGATATGGACCACCAGTTTTCCCCTCATCCTTGAGTGGGAGGGGGCTGATGCATCTTTGCACCCCCCGAAGGTGAGTCCTGGGCTTGGTTGAAGGAAAATCCATGGCAGAAGCCGAGACAAGGGGGTACAGGGGAAAGCCCCCCCCATCTCATTTTCCCTCTCATTCCCCCCTCTTTGGAAAAATCAATCTGCCCCATTGAATTCTTCTCCAGCCACTCAGATCTTCACGAAATGTAGGCCCGGGACCCCCTCCCCTCCCCTCTCCTCAAAGAGAGGCCCCTCCTTGTTTGTTATCCTGGTGGTCAATTCAGGGTCACCCCACTTTAGCTCCCTCGGGGTCCCCAAGTCCTAGGGGGCTCTCTTGTAGTCCCACCTCACTCGACGGGTTGGAGTAATCCTATCGGTGTCTCGGGGGGCGGCCGAGTTTCTTGAATGCCCAGATTTTGCAGCTTGGAAATCACACCGACTTTTCTTCCTTTGGAGAACGGGGAAGAAAACACACACACACAACACACAACAGGGACCCAAATCCCTTTCTCTTCCCCCCCTCCAGCCCCCCCACCGGGCAGCAGTGGATCTGCTCAAAGCCATCTGCTCACCAGGTAGATGGTGACTCTTCCTTCCTTTCCTCCTTCCTCCCTCCCTCCCTTTCTTCCTTCCTTTTCTTCTTTTTCTTTTCCTTCTTTCCTTCCTTTTCTTTTCCTTTCCTTCCTTCCCTTTCCTCTTCCCTCCCTTCCCTTTTTTCTTTTCCTTCTCTTCCTTCCCTCCTTTCTTCCCCCTCACTTCTTTCCTTCCTTCCTCCCTACTCTTTTTTCTTTTCCTTCCCTTCCTTCCCTCCTTTCCTCTTTCCCCCCCACTTCTTTCCTTCCTTCCTCCCTTCTCTTTTTTCTTTTCCTTCCTTCCTTTCTCCCTCTCTCCAAGTTCTCTTCCTCCAAAGTCTGTGACAAAAGAGGGGGCCATGGGGTGGGGTGGAGTCACACAACTGGGAATTCCCCCCCCCCATCCCATCCCTGCTCCCTCTTGCCCTGGAACAGCTCCTTTCTGCTTATTTCCTTTTTACTTTTCTGGCTGAGAAGAGAAGCAAGCGAATAGATGACAAGCACTTTGGTGTTGTATTATTATTTTTCTCCATGCCGACCGGAGGGTTTTTATATACCTGCAGGATTTCTTTGCCACTCGCCCTCCTACCTACTGAGCTATTTTACTGTCTGTAATTAAACCAGAGATGTTAAAATAAAATAACTATTGAAAGATTGACCTGTTTGGTGTCACACTTGCTTTCTTTCTTCCGAAAGATTAAATCCTCTTTTAAGTGTTGCTTAACCTTGGCTGCTGGAAGATGGGTGGACTTCAACTCCCAGAATTCCCAAGCCAGCATGGCTGGGGAATTCTGGGAGTTGAAGTCCACCCATCTTCCAGCAGCCAAGGTTGAGAAATATTGATGTACGCTTGGTTTGAGCCAGCTCCCTAAGCCAGAGAGAACTTTTGACTTCACTTTATCAGCAAATTGTGCATTATAAGCCATGGTTTGTAACTTCACATATAACCATGGTTTGTAACTTCGCATGTTCTGAGTCCATCTCATACTTTATTTACCTAGCCATGGTTGAGCGTGCAGTGCTTTAATTCTATGCGACTCCAGCCTTAGATCATTGTTTATTTTTTCTAAGTTACGTCCTATAATAGGGTTTCTAGGTAGCGCGCAAGTTCAACTACAATTCCCAGAATTCTTAGTGGAGTGTCAAATCGGGGATCCCTGTTGATTGGTGGAAATGTTCTGGGCGGAGTATCGAAGCTGCCAATGATGGGAGTGGATAGAGCTGATGGAAACACTGCCACCTTCTGGTCAAAAAAAAAGAAACTTCTTTCTTGCCAGCTTGCCCAACCCAAAAATACAAGTTCCTTTGATATGCCCTTCGTTTTACTGACCATAATTGGGAGCAGGAACTTGGTCATTAAGCAAAGCAATTGGTACGTGCAATGAGACTGCATTTCATGATCCGACTTCAGCCTCCCTTCACTTTACAGGGCATGAAAGGTTCTAAAAGCAAGGATTAGTCGCAAAGTTATTTTTTCATCACTTCTGCGGCTGTGAGCGGTCACTAAACGAGGACTGGCTATATAAAGGACGGGGAAGAAAGAAAAAACCTGTTACAGAATCCACTGTAGTTTACCCAAGACTTGTATATGTGTATATGAGAGTAATAATTTTAATTTTAAAAGGGGGGAAACCCAATTTTCTTTTGAAGTAAGAGAAAACTTGTAGATACAGGAAGTCCTCAACTTACAACATTAATTTACTGATTGTTCAAAGTTACAACGGCACTGAAAAAAAGTGACTTATGGCAGTTTTTCAGTTACAAACTCTAGCATCCCCGTGATCACATGATCAAAATTCAGACGCTTGGCAACTGACTTATACTTACGACTGTGGCTGTGTCCCAGGGTCACGTGATCCCCTTTTGCGACCTGACAAGCGAAGTCAATGATGAAGCCAGATTCGCTTAACCACCGGGTTACTAACTTATCAACCGGCAGTGATTCACTTAACAACTGGGTGAAGAAAGGTCGTTAACATGGGGCAAAGTTCCCTTAACAAATGTCTTCCCTTAACACAGTGTTTCTCAACCTTGGTAGCTTGACTGGCTGGGGGATTCTGGGAGTTGAAGTCCACCCATCTTCAAGCTTCCAAGGTTGAGAAACACTGCCTTAACAACAGAAAGGTTGGGCTCACTTTTGGTCCTACGTTGAGGACTTAACCTGTACAGGCAAATATTTTGGGCTTCTCCCCTTTTATCTTTTTCTGGGGAGGAGGGGGGCAACCCAGAAGGATGCTTCAATAGAGGAAGGAAGCGTTTGTGCACCACAACGAACGTGAAGAAACAGGCACAGATCGGAGTGAAAACTAGGTTAAACTTTGGGGTGAAAAAACACGGATCAGCTTGCCCAGACAGAGTCCGGAATGTTTTTGCTCAGATCTGGCCGCAGGCTGGTATCTTGTTTATTCCTGAGCCGCTGGGATGGCACGGGGAAGGGGAGCGTGTGTGCCATTGGCAAGCCCCAGGAACATCACTCCTTTCTCTGCCAAAAGAGCGGGCAGGGAAAGGGGCTGCTCCCAAGCCCCCAACGGGGTCGGTCTCTGCTCCATTCGGTTCCCCCTTTTCCTTTCGGGCGGGTGCGGATGGGAATTTCTCTCTCGTCTTCTCCTCCTCCTTCTCCTAGTCCAGAAATCTCACTCGAGCATCATCTGCCTCGGAGATGCATCTCTGGTGGAACTGGTTTCCCAGCCTGGATTTTTTTTCCACAGGGACATGCCAACCCTTTCTCTCCCCCCCTCCCACCGCACCAATTTTCGCTTGGAAAAAAAAAACCCTCCCACGCCATGGGGCACTTCTCCTCCGTTCGGAGCCGAGAGTTTTAAGGAGAAGAAAGTTGAGTTTTTCACCTATCCTTCCCTGCCTGTTTTTCTTCCCTATCCAGAAATGGCTTACCGGGATTTTCCCAGCCAGCTAAGAGTTAATTCCATCTCAGGAGGGTGCTGGGGGGGGGCTTCAAAAAGACCCTCCTCTTTGTTTTGGCAGGAGGGGGGGACACTCATTTTTTTTCTTTTCCCAGGGGCAAAACCCTATTGAATCCAACCCGCCTCCTTTACCCCACACAACAAAGGGGCTTTATGTGAGCTGCAGAAAGTGGAGCAGGCCGAGCTGCCTGGTGGGCCTAAGACAAACAGAGAATAGCTCGTCCTGGGGGGGGGGGGCTTGGGAAAGGGGGGGCCGAGACATGGCCCCGTTGGGATGAGCTCCTCTCTCTCTTTGTAACATGACAAAGGACTCGCTTTCCAGAGGACCAAATATCTCCCGTTGGAAACGTATCTAGAGTTTCCTTTATTTCCTTTTATTTTTTTCTGATTCCCAAGTTTGGAAAAAAAGAAAGGAAAGAAAAAAAAAAACCCAGAGGATGGCTGATTTTCTTCCTGGAAAATCCGTTTTCAGGAGAATGTACTCCAAATCTCTCCAAAAATAATTCAACCCCATCACACTTTGCTTTTTGCTACACAAAAATAAATAAATAGAAGTTTTAAAGTTGACGGACAGAGCTTGGAGGACAGTTTAGAACACATTAAAGGAGTCCTTATTTTTTAAAAAAATTTTTAAAAAGTCAGGCGGTCCTTGATTTACGACCGTTTGTTTAATGATGCTTCAAGGTTACGAGGAAAACCTTGGAAAAAGGTGACCCTGTCCTCGAAGTTACAACCGTCGCACCACTCCTCTAGCCGTGGGATCGCAATTCAGGCGCTGTCCAACCAGGCTGGCCTATGGGATGTTTGCAGCTTCTTGTGGTTGTGTGGTTGTGTGTGATTGCCAACCTTCCCAGCCAGCTTCCAACAAGCAGAGTCAAGTGCAGGATTCGCTTAAGGACGAATGGCGATTCACTTAACAACAATGCGATTCACTTAACATCTGTGATAAACAACGGCTGTAAAAATCAGGTTGGATCCATCTCCTGACGACTCACTTAGTGACCAAAATTGCAGCCTCAGTTGTGGTTGTAAATCAAGCAGTAACCTCAAAGGGATGCTGCAGGCTGTACAATTGGGAGGCTACTAAAAGGTGGGGGGGCAGTGTTTGAGGACTTGGCCGGGTTTAGAAGTTAGTCTGTCAGGGGCCCTCCAAGGACATGTAGTCCACCCTCATAGGTAGTCAGGGGAAATACATGTAGTTGACTTACAACCTTTTGTTAATTGTCCATTCAAAGTTACAACGGCCCTGAAAAAGCCCCCTATGGCCATTTTTCACGCTTACCATCGTTGCAGGCTTCCCGTGGTCACGTGATCCAAATTCAGAACGCTTGGCACCTGGCTCGTACTTATGACGGTCGAAGCATCCCTGGGTCCCGTGATCCTGTTTTGGGACTTTCTGACAGGCCAAGTCAATGGGAAAGCCGGATTCACTTAACAACCAGGTTACTAATTTAACCACTGCAGTGACTCCCTTAACAACGGTGGCAGAGAAAAGTTGCAAAACGGGGGGGGCGAAACTCACTCCGACCCATTTCTCACTTAGCGACAGATACGTTAGCCTCCGCTGTGGTCGTACGTCGAGGACTACCTGTAGTTGAAAAGCTGCAGGTAGCCAGGTGTTTTCTTTCATGCTTTAATTTATCTACCTGAGGGAGGTGAGGAGGGGGGAGTCCGGGGGGAGTCCAAGGAGTGGGGGGGGGAAACTCTGCCAGGCTCCCTGGGGCACCCAGAGGAACCCATGCCATGGTTGGAAGGACGCAGCCCCGCCGGAGGGGGACGATGGGAGTTGTCGTCCCACTCCCGCCCCTTCTTCTCCTGGAGCCTGCCAAGCAGGGAGCGGCCGGCGGCCCCCGCACGTGCTCCCGGCCGGGGTTGGGCGGGCGGGCGAGGCTGGCGAAGGGGGGGGGGGGCACCGGCCCCGCCTCCCTCGGCTGGCAGCCTGGCAGAGCCGCAGCGCCCGTCCCGTCGAGCAGCCGCCGCCTCCCCGCTTTATGCCCCGCGATCGGGCGGCCCAGGAGGGCTGCCTCGCCGGCTCCGGCGATGCTGCTCCCGCTGCTGCTGCTGCTGCTGCTGCTCCATGCGCGGCTCCAGGTGAGCCTCCCTCGGTCCGGGGAAAGCCTCGGCAGACTCTCGGCCCCATGGTCCGCAGCCCGCCGGCGCAAAGCAAGGCACCCCGAAAGCGCCGCGCTTCTCTGCAGCCGGGAGACGCGCGACGCAGCTGGAGCGCCCGAGGGCGACGCTTTGGAGACCCGGAGAGCTTCCCCAGCTGGGCAGCCGATGCCCGTTTCTCACCTCTTTTACACGCGACTTGTAACTACTACTCGTTTCCTCCCCGGAGTTCATGCTTTAAGTTTAAGTTATCTACCTGAGGGAGGGGAGGGGAGGGGGGGAGTCCGGGTTCCCCCCAAGGACTGGGGGGGGGGGGGCTCTGCCAGGCTCCCTGAGACCCTCCGACCCCTCCCCGCGGAACTCCTCCGAAGTCCTGGGGGAGCGGAACGACCCTCGTCTTGGGAACCGGCTTTGCTTGGCTGGGCTCGGCTGAAAGAGGGTTGGCAGTTTGCGGGATGCCAGTCCGGACTTGGGCGAGTTTGGACCCTGCCAGAAAGTGAGAGGCAAGGCTTCTGCCCCCTGGGACGGCGGAATTGGGGAGGGGGGAGGATTGGGGATGAATTCGGGATTTGCAAGATTCGGTTTTTCTCCCCATGTAAGTGTTTCTCTGTATCATATCAGACATGCGGGTGTATGCATAATTTTGTATTTATTTATTTTGTCATGTTTACGTCGTGTATACTGGAGGTGGAGACCCTTTGAGAGCTGCATGCAAGGAAATTTCATTTAAATGTATGCCAATTAATGTACATTCAAAGTGACCGTAAAGAAACTTTCCTTTCTTTCTTTCTTTCTTTTTCTTTCTTTCTTTCTTTCTTTCTTTCTTTTTCTTTCTTTCTTTCTTTCTTTCTTTCTTTCTTTCTTTCTTTCTTTCTTTCTTTCTCTTTCTTTCTTTCTTTCTTTCTTTCTTTCTTCCTTTCTCTATCTATTTATCTATCTATCACTCTCTTTTTCTCATTTCTTTCTATCTATCTATCTATCTATCTATCACTCTTTTTCTCCTATCTATCTATCTATCTATCTATCTATCTATCTATCTATCTATCGCCACTGAGTAGCTCGTGGTTTCCACGTTGGGCAGCCTCGAAATTCTCCGAGTTTGCATGCTCTGGCTCCGGAAAGATTTTTATTTTATTTTATTTTATTAAGATCTTGCTGCTCTTTCAGTATGAAGCCATTGCTTCTCCTCCAAACTCTTGCATTTCCCCCCAAGATTAACCCTAAAATTGAGGGGACCCTTTGGGATTATCACGATTAAACAGCTGCGAGACAGAGGACCTGGTGCAGGCACCTGGTCTTTTTCCCAGGGGCCTCGGACCTTGGACTCCTTAGACCCCCCTAAACAGAGGCCCCTAGAGACCCAGTTTGCTCCCCACCTTCAAAAAAGCAAGAGTTTTACAGCTGTACTGAAACTCAATGACCTCCCATCTTCCTCCCTGGGGGGAAAGGAAGGTGTGGCCCTCGCTTAGTTTCTCAGCCCAAGCAAGCACACGGCGGGGGGGGGGGAGGTTGGCCCTTCGGCAGCTGATGTGCCCCACCCCAGGAGCAGCTGTCTTTCCAAACATGGGGGGGGGGAAGAGCCACCCCTCTCAGAAGATAAGGATGCCCGGGACCCTAATATTCAAACTCCTTGAGAACTTCACAAGCTGGGCTTAAAGTAGGGGTCTCCAACCTAGGCCACTTTAAGACTTGTGGACTTCAACTCCCAGAATTCCCCAGCCAGCATTTTCTTTGTGTTTTTTTCTTCCTTTTCTCATTAACTCCCTTCTGTCTCTTTTCCTCTCTCTTCTTCCCTTTCTCTTTCTGTTTTCCGTTTTCTTTGTTTCACCTTTTCCTCATTCCCTTCTCCCTCCCTCTCCCTTCTCCTTCCTCCCTCCCTCTTTTTTCCTCTTTCTTTTCTTTCTGTCTACCTGTCTTTCTGTCTTTTCCTTCCTTCCTTCCTTCCCTCCCTCCCTCCCATTCCCATCTCCTTCCTTCATCTCTTTCTTCTTTTTTGCTTTTTATTGTCTTTATTTTTAAGCATTCTTTTTCCTCCCATGCGGTTCTGAGTCACTTTGGAATGGATCAGCATAAAAATCTTAGTAATCAATCAATCATCTTATAAATAAACTCTGGGCAAGAAGCCACTGGAAGACTTCAGCTGACATTATTCTAATTTGTCTGCCTAATTGTTTTATTACTTTTAACCTTCTAATTGGTTTACCCTCCTATTGACGATGTTGTAAGCCACTTGATCATGAGATAAGCAGCCTATACATTTAATGAATAAATTTACAATAAATAAATACATTTTAATAAATAAGTTTAACAAATGTCAATAATTTTTTACATAAATTTTAATAGATAAATTCAATAAATCTTAATAGGTAAATTTCAATAAGTAAATTTAATAAATGAATTCACTCAATGCATAAATTTTAAGACATTAATAAATGAATTCAATAAATCAACAAATTTATTAAATAAATAAATGTAATAAATAAAACACATTCCCAACCATAGTGATGAGGAGGAACAGAGCTATGCCTTTTTCCTAAAGAGAAGGTATAACTTCTTGATGGTGATCACACCGGAGCTGTGACGGTGTGGAGAGGTGGGCACCAGGTTGGAGATGGAGATTCTCCTCTGGTCCTCCTTCACCCCTCGTGCTCATGCTACTCACCAGCTCATCGCCGTCTCTGCTCTGCCCCTTCCAGGTCTCGGGGGCCACGGGCGTGGTTGAACTGCAGGTCTCCTTGGCACAGAATGAGAAGGGGGTCCTGGCGGATGGACGGTGCTGCCGCGGAGGGCGGGAGCCGCCATGCCCCATGGCCGAGCCTTGCCACACCTTCTTCAGGGTCTGCCTCAAGGAATACCAGCTGCGGGCACAGCCAGGGGGGCCTTGCGTCCTGGGGGCCGCCAGCACTCCTGTTTTGGGGGGCAACGTCATCTCAGCTCCCCTCCAGAAGCCCTCGGACCGTGACGGGACAATAGTCATCCCTTTCGACTTTGCCTGGCCGGTAAGAGCTTTATTTTTATCCTTGTTGGGGGGTAGCAGAAGCATTAAATATAAGGTTCTCACAGCTCTAGGTCTGGCCACAGCCAGGGCTGCCGAGATTACAGGTAGTCCTCGACATACGACCACAGTTACGATGGTATGATCGCGTGGCTCAGCTGGGATCATCAGAGGCTTTTAAAAGCATTTTTTCTACAACCTCTTCGGCCAAAGAGGTTATAGAAAAAATGGTTTTAAAAGTAAAAAAAAAAAAAAAAGTTGGCCATGCCCACCCAGTCACATTACACCCCCCCATCCACCAAACCACGCCCACAGAACCAGTAATAACAAATTTTACATTTCACCCCTGGTTTCACAGCATTGCTCATTGTGTCTCAGAGCTCTGTGGATTCTGGAAGAAGACATACAATTGCCCCTGTTTGGACTGCTTGCCGTCAAGCATCCGAATTCTGATCTCGTGAGCATGGCAATTCTGCTGCAGCGCTTGTCAGGGTGAGGACCGGGCGCCTAAGTCACTTTTTCCAGCGCTGTCGTCACTTCGGTTGCTAAACGAATGGCTTCAAGTGGAGGCATCTGCCTGTTAGAGGCATCTCTGCGAAATCTGGAAGAACGGGTGACTCACTTAACAACCGGCTTCCTTAGCAGTGGAAATTCTGGTTCCAATTGTGGTCGTACATCGAGAATTACCTGTAAAGCTGCATCCCCAGAAAGCCCAAAATTACCCAGGTTGAGAAACGTTCAACTGGAACTTGCAGATTGGAAAAAGCAACGGAGAAAATCTATAGAGACTCTCAGACATCCAGGTCACGATTGTCCCAAAGGTGCTTTTTCAAGAGGCAGCTCGACTTCCTTGTTTTTTTTTTCTTTTGAAGACATTTCCCTTCTCCTCCAAGAAGCTTCTTCCGCTCTGACTGGATGGTGGGGAATGGAAGGTTTTATATTCCATGCAGACAGCAGGTCATTTGCTACAGCTATACAACTTGGGATGAACACCCTTTGAACGGTGTGGGAATAGGAATAAATTTCCAGAGGAAAAAAATGCAGACCTCAGAAACCATTTGCACCACTCAGGTGACTCTGAGGACACAGACAAACCTCCAAGTGGCCTCAACGACCCACTAAAAAGGATGCAAAGGACCAGCTGCCTGCACGGAATATAAATCCTTCCATTCCCCACCATCCAGTCAGAGCGGAAGAAGCTTCTTGGAGGAGAAGCGAAAAGTCTTCAAAAGAAAAACCAAGAAAATCCAGTTGCCTTCTGAAACAAAGCACCTTTGGGACAACGGAGAAGGTCCTGAAATTAATTTTGCAGCCACTTTGTGCATGGACAGCCTCGTCCGATTTGTCACTCAAGCAAGACTCAAATCTGTTCTGGTTTGTCCAGGGGGAAAAGATGACACAATGCATCCCAGGTCCGTTCCCCCCCCCCGCACACACACACAGACACATACCAGCTTCTCTGCCAGAGTATCTGGGTCTCCCTCTGCCAAAAAACCCAATTTAAACCTCATCTCTGTTCTGCTTCCATCTCTAGAGCAGGGGTCTCCAACCTTGGCAACTTTAAGACTTGTGGACTTCAACTCCCAGAGTTCCAGATTGTTGGGGGCAATAGACGGACTCTGTAAACCGCTTAGAGAGGGCTGCAAAAGCACCGTGAAGCGCTATATAAATCTGAGTGCTATTGCTTGCTATTCCAGCTCTATTCTGATTTGAGTTTCTGCCCATTTAAGGATGTCAGTAGAAGACAAAACATCTTTTTTTATATAAAAAAAAAATCTGATTTTTTTTTTTAAACAATTTATCTGTGTTAAACCTACTAATTCACATGTGAAGGATCACTTGGGGGTTGGAGAGGTCTTACAACCCAGTTCTGGGATTTCTGCCTTGAAAACCAAGCCACAGCAACTTGCTCTCTGGCCGCAGGTCCTGGGAAAGGTTATTGAGCCTGGATGACCTCTGACCTTTGGGGCTGTTCTGAAATGCCCTCCCCTCTCCCCAGGGGAATGTCAGCCGAGGGGAGCAGCTGTTCGACGAGACCCTCGAGATCTTTGGGTGAATGCACCTTCCTCTGTCATACACACAACACACAGTGGGAGAATGAGATAGTTGGCATATAAATTTAATAAATACATTTAATGAATAAAGAAAAGATATCTGGAGATAAGCCAGCTGCAGGTTGACATCTCATGCTGCCTTCTGAACTGGACCTTTGTAAGGTTATGAGTGGCCCACCCATTACATGTCCCACAATGCCCTGACGAAGCACAGCGCTGGGGCATTGTGGGAAATTCCTTGCTCAACCAATAGGAAAACGGAGCAGCACCTGCCACGTGCTAAGAAAAGTTTGATTGGCTCGGTGGATTGAGCCAATATGACCATCGTGGTTAGCTTGTGGTTCGGAGAGTTGCACAAAACCTGGAGGGGGGCAATGGAGCAAACTGGTTTAGTCAGAGCAGCAAACAAGCAGAGACACAGGGTTGGGAGAGTTCAGAAGATACCCCCAGAGCTGCCGGTTGTGTGAAATGAATCATTCGTCTTCCTGGAAAAGGGACAATGTGGCCTTTCCTTGTGAGGCTTCAGGCGTAGCCTCCCTCTCTTAAGTCGCTCCTTCCTGGCGAGACTTCAGGCGTAGCCTATTTTTCTTCCTTTTGGTGGCCTCCAATTTTGATGCTCAGTATCCCTCATCCTTATCCAGTTTAGCCTTTGGCAGACCTGGTCCTTGTAGTTGGAGGCCACCTAAAGGATGGCATGGAGGCTGACCTCGTCGTACCTCGTAATCCTCCTTCCCTCCCTTTGGCTGTGGATGAGGGTCTCCGTCAGTGTTTTTCAACCTTGGTAACTTTAAGACCTGTGGACTTCCAACTCCCAGAATTCCCTGGCTGGCGGGGGAATTCTGGGACTTGAAGTCCACCCAACTCAAAGTTGCCAAGGTTTTGGGGTGCTTTGAGGAACCTTAACAGATCCAGCTGAGAAGCTGACTGATCTGCCTTTAGTTGGTGCTCCAGATGTTGTGGGATTAAACCCGAGGCATTTATCACTATTTTTGCTTATCTTTGCCACAATCATTCTAATTTTTTATTATTATTATTATTATTTAATTAATTTTTCTGCATCCAGTTCAGCTGAGTGGAGGTCTGGCTTTGATATGGTAGAAATTTTGTTCTCATTCAGTCGGTTTATTCATAGAAATGAGCATAGAATTGGGAGAGTTGGGGGTCGGAGAGGGGGGGGTGCCACATAGGTTTCCAGATGTTCAGACTGGGAACTCATTGGTGAACTTCTGCCTTGTCCCTTCTAGCGCTCGTACTCGCTGGTTCTGGAGGCCTGGGATGCTGCCAATGCCAGTGACGTCACCAGCCCAGGTAAGGAGTCCTTTTTCTGGATACAGGTGGTGGGTGCAAAGTAGGAAGGGGTGGGATGTTCAGACACACCTGGATTTTGTGTTCCACTTCTGGAACCTGCATGTGCCTCCTCTGGGTACCGAGATCGAGGCGAAAGAGCAAAGCAGGTGTCAGCATTCGTGCCCGCAGCCGTTCAGATAGCCATTCGCCATGCCATATTTAGTTTTTTTTCATTGGGAAGTAGCTAAACTAGTTGTTAGCTGCGTAGGAAAGATTGAAAGAAAATAATGTTGTAGCTCTGGGCTTTTACTCCTTTCAGCTACATTCCTGATCACTGAGCCCTGAACCAGTCACTCGCCGCTGGTCTGTAAAAACTGGAACTTCCATGGAGAATGGCAGTCTACCTCTAAAGTAGCAGTTGCCAGGAATAAGCAGGAAGAGAGGCCTCGTTTATGGATTTCCAGGGGCAGGGACAGTGGCAGCTGCAGGGGTATGGGGTGGGTGGGTAAATGAGTTTAGATTTTCACCCCTCTTGCAGTGGCAGGCGGTGTGCCAGCCTCGTTGTGGACTAGTAACTTGTGCTCCTTTCCAGCTCTGCCCCGGAGCACTCAAGGATGAACAAAATGCTTGGGACTATTGATAATGTAGAGTTTATTGTAGTAGAATTTATTGTGACATAAAATACAGGTGAAAATTAAAACGGGAAAAAGAGAAGGGGTGCAGGATAAGAAGAAACAGAAAAAAAAATGCAGTGATTTTTTTTTACTCTATTCAGTGCAGTAAAACACAAAATACAAATCCAGCTTCAGTTTTTTGCTTTCCATTTCCAGTAAATAGAAGCCATTTCTATAATAGCCCAGTTAATCTAGTCCTCCAAAACCTAAAATCAAAATTTAATTTTGTTTTCTGTTTTGAGCGTAAAGTCCAGAAGCGATTTCCAAATGCAAACAAAACTAGATAAGTCCTTCTCTTTAATTAAACAATTAACTCTGCCCTCCACGCCAACGCCATCGCTTTTCCCATCCATTCTTCCATTGTGGGAATGGATGGACGGCTCGTTCCGTTTGGGCACGTATAAAATTCTCCCAGCTGTCAACCTAGAGGATAACCAAGTTCCAAATTTCGGACCGTTGATGAACGTTTTGAATTGGATTGAATATGTCAGTTTTGTAACTCCGAGGTCCTTGGTGCTCTCTGAGCTCGGCTGTTTTCTTGCAGATATTTCATGACTCCACTAGGTAATAATCGGTGCTAGAAGGGAGTGGGTTTGTGGAGAGGAAGAGGAGGGGGAGGAGAAGGAGAAGAAGGGGAAAGAGAAGGACTGAGGGGTCCTTGGTGCTCTCTGAGCTTGTTGGCTTTCTTGCAGATGTTTCATGACCAAACTAGGGAACATTATCAGTGCTAGAAGGGAGGGGGATTGCAGAGGGGGGAGGAGGAGGAGGAGGAGGAGGAGGAGGAGGAGGAGGAGGAGGAGACTTTCATTACCCAGCTGAGGTGTTGTGGTATTTTTTTGCCTTTTTGTTGTTTCCTTTTTAATTGTCTCTTTTGAAAGTCGTGTAAATATTGTTAATCTCTGTGTGCCTGTTGATGGCTGACTCGTCTGAATGCTGACCTTCTGGAAATCCCCTAGCGTTCTTGAACTTAATTGGTCCAGGATGCTCACAATTTCCCAGTTGAAACTATGGTGTCATTGGTCTCTGTGTTGTGCAATTAAGGTGTTTTCATCCTGTCTTCTGATTGCTCAGTGTTCATGGAGGCGCTCTGCAAATCTTCTGTCTCGTGGTGACTGTTGCAGTCCTCACACTGTATGTTGCAGAGGACTCCCCCTTTTTCCTCCTGGGGCTGCTGGGTCTTTGGGTTTTGTGCCTCCCACCAGATGTGGGGTGCTGATTGAGAACAGGACCCTCCACCTTCGTCTTCCTCCCCTTCCTTGGCAGGCTCAGGGCAGCTGATCGAGCGGGTGACCCGTTCGGGCATGGTGAACCCAGGCGAAGGCTGGCAGCATTTAAGGCATCATGGGCGCAGCGCCCTGCTGGAGTGCCGGCTGCGAGTGCGCTGCCACGAGCACTACTACGGGCCCTCGTGCAACCTGCTCTGCAGGCCCCGCGATGACTTCTTCGGGCACCACAGCTGCGACGCGGCCGGGAACAAGGTCTGTCTCGACGGCTGGACGGGAAACAAGTGCCAGCGGGGTATGTCCGTGGCTGGCGGGCTGGCGTGGGGCAGGGCAGGGCAGGGCGAGAAAAAAGGCTCTACAAAAGGGCAGGCTGTCCCATTGCTGTGGTTGTCCCGCCCCAACCCCCCCCCCCCAGAAGGGGTCTTGGGGGGGGGGGTGTCAAAAAAGCCAAGACGGACGCAAACAAAAAAAATATTTGTGGACATTTTGCGGGGAGGCAGCGGGGGACGGGACAGACAAACAGATCAAAATGATGGGCGTAGCTGCATCCCCAAATCCCACCTGTATTTCTTGTGTGTCACCTTTGCATTAAAAAGGGGCAGGGACTTGGTCTCATGTTCCCAGCTGCCATCTTGACTTTTTTTGACACCTATCTGGGGGGATGTCCCTATGTCGATGGTCCTGTGGGGTCTCCAGGTTGGGTGGCCCCCTCTCTGCGTCCTTTCAGTCCTTCCCTCGAACACCAAAACAAGGACATTCGTCACTGGTGCAAATCCGTCGGTTGAATCCCCTCCCCTTCGCTCCCTCCTTGCCAGCCCTTTGAGGTAGGCCAGGTCCCTAACCACCGTACTCGAATGATTATTCTGGTGCGCCCACAAAGAAGGGGGCAGCCATGTCCTTTCAGCAGCTTTCAAGACTCAGTCTGGAGCCTCGTCTGACGTTGCAACTTGTGTTCTCTTGCAGCTGTTTGTCGCCAGGGGTGCCACAAAACGCACGGGTTTTGCGAGGAACCTGGGGAGTGCAGGTGAGAAGCAAGCAGGTGGGAGGGGGTCCTGACCCTTCGGCCTCCCCTCAAGCCCTCCCCTTAGCCAGCAATGATGAAACGGGTCCAGCATGTCCTCAAATCCTGGTCTGCTGTTGGCTTAGTCTGTTGTACTCCTGCCGCACAATCTGGCGAGAAAAACATGCGCTTCCCTCAAGTGGAAAAGGGACGCAAGGGGCGACCATGATGTTGCGAGATGGGGGTTGGACCCTTGGAGGTTGTCCAGACAAGAAGCACCATCATGGGGACCAAGTCCATCTTTCATGAAAGCTCACATTAGCAGCTGAATCTTGCCATCTGAATGGGCTTATCGGAAACGTTTTCTCACATTACTTTCTCGGCTGGGACTCAAGGCCCTGTTATCTGACCACTGTTTTGGTAGCAAGTCTTCTTCTTTGTCCTTCAAGGACGTTCCTTTATGCCCTCTACCTCATCAAGGCTCTCCAACCTTGGCAACTTTAAGACTTCAAATCCCAGAATTCCCCAGCGGGAGAGAGGTTGTTCCGAGGACTGGAGGGGAACGTGGTTTCATGTGCTGCCTGCAGCCCACGGATGGGGTTTTGCTTGTTTGCGCAGGCTGGTTTCGGGCATGCCACGGCCCCGGTGCCGGTGCCTGGACCAGGAGTTGGGGACCCTGTCCTAAAGGATCAGATTGGGGCAGGTCTGACCTAGCCGCTCCCCCTCCTCAATTTCAAAGCCATTCGCTGCACAGTAACCATCCTTCCCTTCTCAGCTGCCATTACGGCTGGACGGGGCACCACTGCGACCGGTGCCTTCGCTTCCCCGGTTGCGTCCACGGGAGCTGCACCGTGCCCTGGAAGTGCGACTGCGAGACCAACTGGGGTGGCCTTCTCTGCGACAAGGGTGAGCCCCCCCCCCCGCTCGGCCCTGCTCAGTGGATCCTTGTGTTAAGATGGGAAGGGGGCAGCGGAGACCCTCCCCCAACAGGCAAACATCCTTGGCCATTCCTTCTATAGATAGTCCATGTCTTACAAAAGTTCATTTAGTGAACTGTTCAAAGTTACGACAGCATTGAAAAATGGGACTTAGGATTGTTTTTCACACTTATGACCGTTGCAGCGTCCCCACGGTCAGGTGATCAAAATTGAAACGCTTGGCAACTGACTCGTACTTATGACGGTTGCAGTGTCCCTGGGTTGTGTGATCCCACTGACCAGCAAAGTCAGTGGGGAAGCCAGATTCACTTAACAACCGTGTGACTGACTTAACAACTGCAGTGATTCACTTAGCAAGAGTGGCCAGAAAGGTCATAAAATGGGACAAAACTCACTTAACAAATGTCTCACTTAGCAACAGAAATTTGGGGCTCCATTGTGGTCGTAAGTTGAGGATTCCCTGTATCTTACAACCGTTCAATATGGTGGTCTCCAATTCTAGATAGTCCTCGACTTACGGCCACAATTGGGACGGGAAAAATTAGTTGTTACGTGATGAGGTCATTAAGTGAGACATCACATGACTGCACCCCAATTTTGACAACCTTTTTGCTGTGGTCATTAAGTGAGACATCACATGACTGCACCCCAATTTTGGCAACCTTTTTGCTGTGGTCATTAAGTGAGACATCACATGACCGGGACTGATGTCCTTCCATGCCATGGCTTGCTGATTAGAAGTCGCTTGGAAGGTGCCAGATGGTGATCACATGACTGCAGGGACACTGCAATGGTCATAAGTGTGAGGACTGGTTATCAATCACCTCTTTTCAGTGCCACTGTAAATTCAAACCACCACAAAACAAATGGTCCTAAATCAAGGACTCCCTGTAAACCAGTTTCAAGCCATGGTTTGTGTCACCACCCTTTTCTTTACTATTGCAATGATGGCTACTTTAGCTTGCATCAAAGTAGGAGGAGCCAAAGACCCCCAACTCATTTTCCTTCCCCTTCCCCTCCTTCAAGAAGAGACCCCCAGCTGGCAGGCTGGATCAAGGGGGGGGAGGGTGAAAGTTCACCTCCCGACCTCTAGAGGGCGCTAGCATGGAATGTTTTTTTTTTTTTTCAATCAATGTTTGTTATCCTTGCTAAAATAATTAACGGAAGAACCCAGATACTCCTTGATTTAGATCAGGGGGTCTCCAACCTTGGCAACGTTAAGGCTTTTGGACTTCAAACTCCCAGAATTCAGCTTTGCTGGTTGAGGAATTTTGGGAGTTGAAGTCCAAAAGCCTTAACGTTGCCAAGGTTGGAGACCCCTGATTTAGATACTCCTTGGTTTATGAGCACAAACCGCCGCTAAGCAAGGCAGTTATTAAGCGAATTGCACCCAATTTTACCACCTTTCTTGCCACAGGGGTTAAATCACTACAATTGTTAAGAGGATCGTGTGGTCATTAAACGAATCCGGCTTCCCGCATCAACTTTGCTTGTCCAGAGTCAGCTGGGAAGGTCACAAACGGTGATCGTGGGACCCCGGCCGGGACATTGCAGTCGTCATAAGTACATGTCAGTTGCCAAGTGGCCAAATTTCGAACACCTTGGGGAAGCTGCAGTGGTTGTAAGTGCGAGGATCGATTGTAAGTCATTTTTTTCACCTGTGACATCAACTGGCTACTAAATGAATGTTTGATAAGTCGAGGACTCCCTCAAGACACCTATCAGGGTCTATTGAAGCTAATACAGGTAGTCCTCGACTTACAACAGTTCATTTTTGTGACGGTTCGAAGTTACAACGGCACTAGAAAAAGTGACTTACGACGACCGTTTTTCACACTTACGTCCATTGCAGCATCCCCGTGGTCACGTGATCAAAATTCAGACGCTTGGCAAGGGGTTCCTATTTATGACGGTTGCATGTCCTGAGGTCACGTGATCCGCTGTTGCGACCTTCAGACAAAGTCGACGAGGCGGTCAGGTTCACTTAACAACCGTGTCACTAACTGAGCAACTGCAGGGATTCCCTTAACAAATGTAGCAAAAAAAAAAAAAAGTCGTAAAATGGGGGAAAACAAACATCTCAACATAAATTCTGGGCTCGATTGTGGTCATAAGTCGAGGACTACCTGTAATTGCTTCCCAATTAATCATCTTGAGGAAATAAAGGAAGCTGGGACAGTTTTGACAAGAAGGTTTTTGGTGGTCCATTTTTTACACCAACTTCAGAGAAGGTTGTGCCAACAACGATGGTGGCACCTCAGCCAGAAACTGGCAGGGAGATTGGTGACCCAAGAGGTGCCTGTTCTGGAGGCTTGATCCAGATGGAACGGGGCAGCCTTGGACCAGATCCCCCAAAATCCTTTCCTCTTTTTCCTTCTGGCTCAGATCTGAATTATTGTGGATCTCACCGGCCGTGCCAGAACGGGGGCACCTGTGCCAACAAGGAACCGGATGAATATGAATGCCTCTGCCCGGGAGGATTTGACGGGCGCAACTGCGAGAATGGTGAGCAGAGACGGCCAGCCGGGGATGACAAAGGATGTAGGATCTGAGGGTGGGGAGGGTCTTTCCAGACCCCCTTGGCATTCTGCAGAGACCGGGGACAGAGGGAAGGGACCAGCGAGGGGCATTCTTGGTAGGATCTGTTCTTTCTGTGGTCAACTGCATGTTCTATTAGAGAAGAGTGTCCTACGAGCAGCGCTGGGAAACTAACTTCCAATCCTTGCTTGATCGAAAACTTGAATGAGTTAGTTGAGTCAAGCTATATAGCACTGATGATGTTACCTAGCTGGGTCATGAAATGTCTGCAAGCAAACAACCAAATTCAGAGAGCACCAAGGATCCCACAGTCCTCTTCTTTTCCTTCCTCCTTTCTACAACCCCACTCTCTTTTAGCACTGATGAGATTGCCTAGGTGGGTCATGAGACGTCTACAAGAAAACCACCAAGTTTAGAGAGCCCCAAAGACCCCACTGTCAGGTTTCGATGTCATCTCAAATAAATTGCACTCCTAAACAATTAATCTTTGCTGAAATATTCCATTTATTGAGTATGACAGATCTGGCCCCGACTTCGTCGTAGCCGATACTAACCCTCTGATCCCCAAACCCTTCCCTTTCCGTTCCCCAATTCTCATCTTCTCATTGGCCATCTTCCAAGTCAGTCTCCCCAGCTTCTGACCTCACCCCACAGGAACGTTCCCCCCTCCCATCCCATCTCCTAGGGGATATTATCTACAGAGAAAATAAGTAGGTGAAAAGTCAAGCCTCGTCTTTTTATGGCAGCATCAGAATGCTGACACCCACTTTGAGAATAAACTGGGAAATGGGGCATTTCAGCCCCCTTCTTAATCCTAGTGCCCCTCCGGCTACACAACCAGCCATGATCTCCAGGGAGGACTTCTTTCCTCTCGAATGCCTGATTGTGGCTAACTCAGAGGTGCTTCCGCGCATTCTTCGGTCCTCTCTCTCGTTGTGATGCACTCATTTGCACAATTGGCTTCTTGACTATCTCTGGGTGTCCTCTTTTCCCAGCCCTCCTTCCTCTGCCTACTTCCAGACCGCCCTGCCCTTCGGAGCTTTGTGCCAACGGTGGGAGCTGCCGTCCAACCCCGTCTGGACCACAGTGTGTCTGTCCACCAGGGTGGCGTGGCAAGGCGTGCCAGGACGGTAGGTGGTTCCCAGCACGTGGTAGGGTAGCTTTCCGGAGACGGATCAGAGAACTGGAGGGGAAACGAAGTGCGATTTCAGCTTTAGGTTCCAATTTTACAAATACAAATTTATACTTTCCCATCTAGGCTGCCTTAAAAGCAACATCGAATCTCTGGCACCTTAAAGCAGGGGTCTCTAAACATGGCGACTTTAAGACGGGTGGACTTCAACTCCCAGAATTCCCCAGCCAGGTGGCTGGGGAATTCTGGGAGTTGAAGTCCACCCGTCTTAAAGTCGCCATGTTTGGAAACCCCTGCCTTAAAGCTTAACAAAATGAACAGAGTGCAGAGTCTACAGCAGTTTTTGATATGCAGATAATCCTCCTTTAGCGACCACAGTTGGGACCGGGCCACTCAGTCGTTAAGTGAAGCAGTCCGATTTGAATGCATTTTAGAGATTGCGTTATTCTTTTTTAAAAAAGACTTGGTTACGGCAACTGGGAAGATATATATATGTTTTTAGAAAAACCGCGGGCATTGGGTTTCAGGGCTTTGCCAACTGCGAGCTTCCACATCCAGGAGCAGTGTACCTGTGAATGCTAACGACCGATGGAGGAGGAAGAGGGGGGAGGCAGGAAGAAGTCGGGTGGCTCTAAAGGCACGCCAGAGAGCTCTTTCTACTTCTGTTCTTCCTTCCAGATGTGAATGAATGCCACAGAAAGCCGTGTCTTCACGCTCGGGCGTGTAAAAATCTCGTGGGGAGCTATCTTTGCGACTGTTTGCCAGGCTGGACGGGTGCAATCTGCAGCATCAGTAAGAGATTAATTCCGGAATTGCAGGAAGGGGAAACGAATGGACACAGATGGACACTGAGTTCTTTGTGTCATTCGGAAAAAACTAGACCAGAACTACATTTCCCAGCACCCTTCACGGCCAGCTGTGGTGTCTGGGGTAGCTGGGAGCTGTAGTTCGCCATAGGTTCCCTGTCCTCTGTGATCTTTTTAAGCAAAGTTTCTTTAACTTTGACAACGTGAAGATGTGTGAACTTCAACTCCCAGAATTTCCTGGCATGTTTTAAGATGGGTGGACTTCACTACTCCCAGAACTCTCCAGCCAGAATGCTTTAAGAGGTGTGAACTTCAATTCCCAGAATTCCCCAGCTAATGAGCTTTAAGATAGATGGAATTCAACTCTCGGAATTCCCCAGTCGGCAAGGCTTGAAGTTGAATTGAAGTTCACCCATCTTAAAGTTGCCAGGTTTGGGATCAAGGTTTTTAAATAAAATGGATGAAAATTGGAGAGACCTGATGTCAAATTGCCCTTAGGCCAATGTTTCTCAACCTTGGAAGCTTGAAGATGGGTGGACTTCAATCCAACTCCAAGCCAGCCGACTGCTGGCTGGGGGATTCTGGGAGTTGAAGTCCACCCATCTTCAAGCTTCCAAGGTTGAGAAACACTTCCTTAGGCCAACCTACCTTCTAAGGTTGTTGTAGCAGGTAAAGATTGGAGGAAAGGGGTGCTGCTTTCACAGCCTCAAGTCCCAAAAGAAACCTGGAAATCCTCAAGGCAAATGCAGGGCCAAACCAGCCTAATAACTGGTTCTTTAATTGCAGCTTTCAAGTTTCTTTTAATCAATAATCTTTTTTTTTTTTAATCCACTTTCTGCACAGGAATGAATTTGTGCCAAAAGAGATGCCAAAACGGAGGCACATGTCAGGTATGTGTGTGTAAAAATCTGCAATCTTAGATAATGAAAGACGAGGATCGTTTTAGACCTCGCTTTTCCCTCTCGTAAAATGGGCGCAAAACTCGCTCAACAAATTTCTCACTCACCGAAACTTGGGGCTCAGTTGTGGCCGTAAGGCGAGGACTGCCGGTATCCCGCTCTGCTCGTTGCCCTGACCTCCGCTCCCTTCTCTTTTCGCCCCTTCTCCCACAGATGGAGGCTGACAGGCAGGCCTGCTCGTGCCAACCGGGGTACACGGGTGCCGAGTGCGAGACTGAACAGAGGTCCTGCAGAGAGGCCCCCTGCCTGCATGGCGGGCAGTGCCAGCAGGCGGAAAACCAGACTTTCTTTTGCAGGTGCCCTCTGGGCTTTAGCGGCAAGTGGTGCGAGGTACGCCAAGGCTAGGATTTCTGCAGGGTGGAAACTCCACGAAACCCCAGGATTATTTATTTATTTGTATGCTGCTTGCATTATTCTTACAAATAACTTAAGCGGAGAACGTATCGTCCTTAATAATCCTTCTATTTCCCCACAACAACAACTTGAGTTGGGCTGAGAGGGAGGGATTAGCCCAAAGTTAGCTTTCGTGCTGAAGGCAGGACTAGAATTCACCATCTCCTGGCGATTGACTCAAAGTCACCCAATTGGCTTTCATTCTTAAGGCCAGACTAAACTCCCAATCTCCTGGGTGATTGGCCGAAACTCACTCAACCAGCTTTTGTGCCTAAGGCAGGATTAAACTCACTGTCTCCCAGTGATTGGGCCAAAGTCACCCAGCTGGCTTTCATCCTATGGCAGAACTAGAATTCACTGTCTCCTAGTGATGGGCCCAAAGTTACCAGCCAGCTTTCATTCCTAAGGCAGGACTAGAATTCACCATCTCCTGGTGATTGACTCAAAGTCACCCAATTGGCTTTCATTCTTAAGGCCAGACTAGAACTCCCAATCTCCTAGTGATCGGCCGAAACTCACTCAGCCAGCTTTTGTGCCTAAGGCAGGATTAGAACTCACTGTCTCCCAGTGATTGGGCCAAAGTCACCCAGCTGGCTTTCATGCCTACGGCAGAACTAGAACTCACCGTCTCCTGGTTTCTAGCCTGGTGCCTTCTCCACTTAAAGTCTTAGACCAAACTGGCTCGTGAGTTTCCGTGCTGAATGATGTCTCCCCATGGAGACCAGTGGGCCTTCCCCATGCCCCATAATGCACAGACTTTTGGAGTGGAGAGGGCAGGAAGAGTAAAACAATGCACACCCCTCCCCCCCCAATTTTTCACAGATAATCTCTGACTATCCCCCCACTCTTTCTCCCTGCCACCCCTCCCCTTCGACTTTCTCCTGCAGGTCTCTGCCAACGGTGCTCTCCGAATCCTTGCCCCAAAGGTGCCATCTGCCAAGACGGAGGAGGAAGCTATACCTGCCTGTGCCCTGAAGGTGCCATGTGTCAGACCCTGCAAGACCCCTGCTTGGGTGAGGGGTGCAAAGGTGGGTCCTGGGGGAGGGGTGAAAGCACTTCGCAGGTTGTTGAAGGTTGCAGCTTTGACAGGTCTGGGCATTAATGCTGATCTTACAAGACATTTAAGATCTTTTAAGTTTCTCAACTACTGGAAGGGAGATGGGAGGACTTCAATTCCCAGAAACCCCCAGCCAGCAGAGGGGAATTCTGGGAAGAAGTCCACCTATCTCCCAGGGGCCAAGGCTGAGCAATTCTCCAATAGAAGACATCTCTAGTCTAGTGCCAATCGGTATGACCCCCCCCCCCACCCCAAATTTATTTCGGCAAACCCTTAAAATCCGGCTCTTCTCCCTAATCTTAGATTAGAGGTTTGCTTGTACCCCTTTCGAGATGCTGGGTTTGACGATGGCGGCTGCTTTTCCAGTCATAATTGTTTTTTGGTAGGGTCTCTTTTTAGTAGCTGGGTGGGATAGGTTGCCCAGAGTCAGAATAGAATTGGGTAAAAAGAAATGAAAATTTATTTTAATGAAAAAAGGACCAGGGGAGACAGGATAGCAGTCTTCCAATATCTCAGGGGCTGCCCCAAAGAAGAGGGAGACAAGCTATTCTCCAAAGCACCTGAGGGTAGAACAAGAAGCAACGGATGGAAACTAACCAAGGAGAGAAGCAACTTAGAACTGAGGAGAAATTTCCAGACAGTGAGAACAATTAACCAGTGGAACTACTTGCCACCAGAAGTTGTGGGCGCTCCATCACTGGAGGCTTTTAAGAAGAGATTGGACAACCCTTTGTCTAAAATGGTTTAGGGTTTCCTGCTTGAGCAAGGGGTTGGACTAGAAGACCTCTGAGGTCCCTTCCAGCTCTCTTATTCAGTTTTTCAAATATGGTTTCCTTTAGGAGAGAACAACGTTGGCCTCCTGACTGCCGTCCTTCTGCCAGTTCTCCTCCTCGCCGGAGGGGTCCCCATTTTGGTGCTGCTCCTGCTGCTTTGCCTTCAACACCGCTTTCCGCCGAGAGTCCCCGGTCGAACGGAGCCTCCCGCCAACAACAGCCTGCGGCCGGACGCCGTCCATCTCATCCGCAACATCACCCACGGGGAGGCCGAGCGAGGGCCGGGTGTGGCTGACGGCACGGCCAAGATGGCAGGGCTGCCCGCTGGGGTGCCTCCTTCTCCCGGGCTCTCCAAGGTGGACATCTCCAACCAGGAGAGGGCCAAAATCAACCAGTTGAACGTCGGCCTGGTTTTAGCGAGGCCGCCTCTCTGACAAGAAGGGGATGGCGGAGGAGTGGTGGGCAACGGTGACACTTCTCTTGCGGACAAGGGTACCTGATCCCCGTCTTCTTTATGGTCCTCTCCGAAAGCAGCCATGCTCCGAGAACGGACAGGATTCACCTGCAAGGCTTCCTATGTTCCCAGGCAGATGTACCACAGGTCTAGCTGCCGGGCTTTCTGCAGTGAGGGAGGGTCACTGGGCTCCCCAACAGCTGCTCAGACGACAGGACATCCCCAAAGAAGCTAGAACAAATAACCGTCTCGTCTTTGGAAATAATTTGAACGGGCACACATCTGGCCATTGATGGGCTACAACATCTGGCAAGCAATATCCCCCCCTCCCCAAATGGGATAACAAGGTGGGGAGGGCGCCCCCATAACCCTGGACCACCCCCACTTAAGATCCGGTGGCTTCCTACCCCCGTCCCAGGCGGCAACCTTGGGGCTGTGATTTGGAGCAGCTGGGGAGCATGGGGCATTGTAGTCCAGTCCAGCGAGGAGGGTGCCTGGGAGGGGTGTGGGGGAGATAGCCCCCCCCCCGTTTTTTGCAGAAGGAAACCTCTCGGGCAGACGGAATGTAACTTGCACTGTAATATACTGTAATATTCACTGGTTCTTTTTGCCGGTTGTGTTTTGATTCAAATGTCCCGTGTTTGGGGTGCGGCGAAAGGATTGTGAGGGAATATTTTACGGCCGCCATTTTGCGCACCGCTGCAAATTTTGGGGTGTGCGTGTTGCATGAGGCATCGCCAAAGAGCTGTGTTGGCTCTTTTGACCTGGGTAATGGATTAATGCATTGTTTGAAGTTTCCATAATGTACGGAGACCAACGTCTCTCAAGCGTGGCCGTTTTAAGATGGGTGGACATCAATTCCCAGAATCCCCCAGCCAGCAATCCTAAATCCTTAACATGGTTTGTTTTGGCATCAGAGGTACAGGTAATCCCCGATTTACAACACTTCGTTTAGTGTCCGTTCAAAATTACAAAGGCACGGAATGAAGTGACTTACGACCGTTTTCCACACTTACGACCAATGCGGCTTCCCCAACAGTCACGTGATCGAAATTCAGAGGCTTGGCAACCAACTCATATTTATGACGGTTGCAATGTCCCTGGGGCCATGTGATTCCCCCTTTTGCAACCAGCAAAATCAAGGGGGAAGCACGATTCACTTATCAAATGTCTTGCTTAGCAGCGGAAATTTTGGGCTCGATTGTGGTCATAAGTCGAGGACAACCTGTATGGTTATCTTCACCGAGAGCAGGACAGCAAGGCGCGGCTGGCAGCTCGAACATCAGCCCAGGCCGTTTCTGGCTCTGCCTGCTTGGCAGCTGCATTTTATGGCCTCCTTGAGGGCACCCTGGCATCTCGGGACCTGAAGAGTTCTGAAGAGATTTGAGGCTGGCAGAAGGATCCCTGTCGTTCTTCCCGGCAGGCGAAACCTCCGGAGGCTCTTCGGCTCACCTGTTCCTCCCCTCACCTGTTCTGCTCCCTCCTTGCCCACTTCCTTCACCACCGTGGCTGGTGCCAGCCAACCGTCACGGAGGGGGAGAAGACAGGCTGCGGCCTGCCTCGCTTTGCCCGGGCTCTGAGCTTGTGAGAACACGGGGAAGAGGTTTGAGGCAGGGGCGGCTGAACACCTCGCAACCTGTACGGGCAGGTAAGCCGCTCAGCCGGCCACCTCCCTCACTCCGTCATCACTCAATGGCTGGGGAAGGAGAGCGTGGGAAGGGTGTGTGTGATGAAACTGCGCTGGGACGGGAACCGGGGCGATGCTTGCCAAGCAACCATTTCTGGAAGGAAGGAAGGAAGGAAGGTGATGGGGCAGGAACCAGCGATTCTCAGGTACGGAGGCCAGTTATGTCAATAGAGAGACCAGGGGCTCCCCAGGTCAAGGAACAGGACACTGAAGCACCCCAGGGCTTGACCGACTACCCTAGAAATGAACTCTGGAGCATCAAACCCTGTGATCTCTAAGTGGACAAATCCAGGTGCAAGTGGCTGGAATACAGGTATACAGGTATTCTAGCCACAGGTATTCTAGTCCTTGATTTACAACCATTCATTTAGTGACCGTTCGAAGTTACAATGGCATTGAAAAATCATCCTATCATCCTAACCCAGCTTGCCCGAGATGCTGTCCAATGGGACTGGACTCCAACCCCCATAATCCTTAGCCAGCGTGGGCCACTGGGCTGCTGTTCCAGGATATTTAGATTGGGGGAGGGGCTGGGAGCTGCTTTTTTGAACTGGGTGGGCCAAGAGTTCAAGGTCCAGCCAATGTTCCCCAAGGTCTTAGCAGGTGGGAATTCAACAGGTAGGGTTGCAAACTTTCCTGCTTCCCACGTGGGAGAAGCAAACCTGATCCCCGCAGGTAGAGAATCCAGATCTATGGAAGGAAGGCGGGGCTTGCAACGAGTGGGCGTGGCGAGAGGAAGGCGTGGCCCAGCTGGGTTGCAATGTCAGCTCTTTGAAAGAGGGCGGGGCTATCGCCTGCTTGGTGGCCCCTGGGACCACGCCCCTACTTCTAGAGCGATCTATTCGTGGCCGGGAGGGGGAGGGCCGTACCATTTTAGAAACAGTGAGATGGTGTTTTTTTTTTTCTTTTCGAAACCCACCGCGCCGCAAAACGCGGCTTCTTGGGCTCTCGTGCTCTTCCACCCACACCCTTCCACTTGGTTCCTCCCTCCGTCCCCCTTTTTCCCTCCTCCACATGGCCCGCTCCAATTTTGACGCATTGCAGGTGAGAGGCGACCAATGGCCGCGGGAGTCTCATCCTGCGCCTCCTCCGGCGGCCAATGGGAGCGCGCGAAACAAGGACGAGCTCGCCATCCTGTGTCCTTCCGCCGACAGGCGGCTGCAGGGGAGGGGCGGGACGGGAAAGAAGCGCGAGGAGCCAGCGAGGGGAGGAAAGTAGTCCCTTCGGCCCTCTCCCCGCCCGCAGGGAGGAAGTGGGCGGGGCCGCCCTCAGGGGCAAGAGCGGATTGGGCGCGGCGGCGTCCGCGGGGCGGGGCGTCGGGGCGAGGCCGTTGGCGACCGTTGGCGGAGGGATCCGGCGCGCGCAGTGAGGCTCCGTGAAGCGGCCCTCGGTGCGTCCCGGCTGGTGCGGCTCCTGCCTCCCTCGCGACGCCGTTGCTGCGCTCGAAGCCTCGCTGAGCCGGACCCGACAATGGTGAGGGGACAGCGCGGCTTCCGGCGGGGAGCGGGGTGGGTGGGTGGGTCGCGGACTACAACGCCCATGCTTCCCGGCTGGAAGCCGCGGCGGATGGGTCTTGTAGTCCACCCACCCGCAAGAAGGCTGTAGGGGGGAGGTTTCAGGGGCTGCCTGGTTATTTGGATGGGGGGGCAGTTGTAGGAGGAGGGGAGGCGCTTCCGTGGGGGCGGGGGGGGCGAAGAGAACGACCCCCCCCTTCTTGCGGGGTCAGGCCCATTAATGGGGGGAGGGGAGGGGGGGCAATGGCCCCGGGGGGGGGAGCAGCGGATGAGACCAGTTCTTGGGGAGGGGGGGCGTCGTATCCCACTGCAGGGGGAGAGTTGCAGGAGGGAGGGGGGGTAATGGGGGCGACGCAACGTGAATTGGGGAGGGGGGAGGGGGGGGCCGAAGGAGAGCAGGGGGATGCCAGACCCCTGAGTCTTGGGGGGGGATTATAAGGAGGGGGGGATGAGGGGGCTCCGTGGCTGAGTGACAAAGGAGAAGAAGTAATGGGGGTGGGGGGGCTAATTGGGGAGGGGGCTGCACTTGAGTGGGGGGGGGGCCTGCCGGCTGGGTGCAATGGGGGCACCTGGCTGGCCCCGCAGGGCTGCATCCCTTGGACGAGGCCTGGCTGGGGATGCTTGGTGCAGGGCAAGGATTTGGGGGTGGGTGGGGGGTCCTTCCGGCCTGCTTTTTTGGCAAGGGAGGGGCCGATCTAGGAGGGGGAGGGAGCTCCAGACAGATGTCTAGGGAGACAGATGGAGAGCCAGCATAGTGGAAGAATGAGGGGGGGTATGTATCTCCTTTGGAGAGGAAAACACTTAAGGATTGAGCATCCTGAAAGATACGGCCGCCATCATCCGACAAAAGGGTGAAATAGGGTGTGGGTTGCAATTTGCCTCTCCCTGCCTGGGGGGGGAGAAGAAAGAGAGTGCCCCCCACTGCTGGTGCCAGTCGCATGGCTGTGATTCGGAGGGGTGGGTGGGGGAGCAGAGCTGGGCATCCTGTCTGGAAAGAGGGCAGGGCAAGGGGGCACGTATCCAAGGCCTCTGCCCTGGGCCCTCCCGACTCTGGCAGGAGGCTGGTCCTCATCAGCATCCAACAAGATTTCCAGATGTTTCGTTCCCTCCCTTCGCTTTGCCTAAAGAAGGAAATGCCGCTCTCGGGTCGCCTCTGACTTCAGCGGAAATAGCAGCGGAATGGCTCTGGTCGGAAAGCGGCTCACGCAACTCTTTACCTTGCCCTGCCCGTTTTTGGCTGAAAGCGAAAGACGATTTTGCAATCGGCTGCAGAGGAGCCGTTGCCCGTCTGCCTTGGACCGCAACTTCTGCCAGGGGTGACGCTGAAGGGAGGGTTTAGGTGAGCCGAGGGGGCGTTCGGCTCAGGAGCTGAAGCTCTGGAGGAAAGAAGAATGGGTGGGTGGGTTGGGCTGCTGCTTCCTTGAAAAGCATCGATTAGGGCAAGGTGGACTTTTGCACTTCTTCACCTGCACCTCCGTACACAGGAGGGCGGATTTGATTTGGAGCTGCGGCTTTGCGGGTTGCTGGTCTGTTAGGAGACGAGAACGCCACGGAGTTCCTCGGAGTCCTTCTGGGGGTCTTTCCCACTCCCTACTGCAGCTTCCGGTACCTGGTTGAGACGCACTCGCCCCTTTCCAAAATGGAAGGTCGCTGGCTGGCCGCCTCCTTGGACCTCTGCTCACACCAGCCCACCCCACCAGCTCATACTCTCTGCCCTCTTGGTGCTGATTTTCCCCTGAGAGCATCTGTCCTTCAATGCCCCCTCCAAAAGCTTCCCTGAGTTGCGACTTTGGCAGTTTCTGCGAAATGAATCTGTGCCACAAACCGTCTTCGGATGGAATTTGGGGGCGCTGCTTTATTTGAGGGGACGGGGAGTGGGAGAAATGGCTGGTTGTTTCCAAGGGGACAGGGAGATCATTCTGGATTCGGGAGACGTAGCTGTGGTAGCAGGGAGGTTAGTTGGTTCAAAATGAAGGGTGGGCTGTGTTTTCTTGGGCATGGCCCCCTCCCCACCACCTGAAGGGAAGACTCAGTGGAGCTGAATCCCTCCCTCCCTCTGTCAGAAGCTGGAATCTTTTGTGGCTCGCTTGGGGTGGGGACTCTTCTCCCCAGCCTTCCCCTCTTTTGCTCCATCAGAAGTGCTTCATCATCCCCACTGCCTCCCTCTGGATCCCCTCCCAGCCCCCCCCCCTTTAATACAGGTAGTCCTTGACTTAACAATAGTTGACTTAAAGACCGTTTAAAGTTACAACATCACTGAAAAAAGTGACTTATGACTGTTTTCATGGTGACGTGATCAAAATTCAGGTGATTGGCAATTGACTCTTATGACGGTCGAAGTGTCGGGGGTGGGTGGGTGGGTCACATGATCCCCTTTTGTGATCTTCTGACAAGTTAATGG